TGAGCCAAGGCTACGGTGCCACATGGTGAACATCAGCCCTATAGGGCCCCGTCTGTGGTGGTTTATAGGATCTTTGAGGCGCGCGCGGAACGCTACGAACTGTACACTCGGGTGATCGGGTCTGGATCTGTTCGGGCGGCGAGATACCCTTACTCGCCGTCCGCAGACCCGCGCTTATGGGGCCGAAGATCGTCTCTCATGGCAGAAAGTGGTTAGGTCATCCACACGAGCCTATAAGTGCTCGCTGCTGAGCTAAGGCCTCTTCTCACACGAAGAAGATTTGGGCATTAACCACCATGATTGCTCAAGTCGGATAGTGTTTTCAAACTTAGAATTAGAAATTATCAGACTATATTTGCTCACGATGTTTTCCTTCACCGTCTGTTATATTATTGGTGTCTAAAAATCAAAATGTTATGTTTCACTACGTTTTCAGTGGTGTTTTAAAATATTTAAATACTTAGTCGGGTCATAAGTTCTGTCACAAACTTTTGATGTAATAACTTATACGCCTTTTGACAATTATTTAAAAATTATATATGAAATGAAAGGTCATTAAATGTACAATATAATTTTATTTACATTATTCGAAATGCCCTCCCCCATTTTGAACACATGCCCTTAATCTACGCGGCCAGTCATCGATCGCTGCACGCACCACATTCATATCTATGTCTGCCGCTGCTTTAACCAGAGATGCTCGGAGAGACTCCAAATTCGGGTGAGGTTTAGCACAGACTTTTTCCTCCAAATATTGCCATATCTTGTAGTCCAGTGGGTTTAAATCTGGACTAGAAGAGGGCCAGTCTTCATGCCGGATGAAGTCAATTCCACGAGCGATCAACCAGTCTTGCGTACTTCGTGCCTTATGAGCCGGTGCAGAGTCCTGTTGGAATATCCAATGCCTGTTCCTGAACATTGTCTGAGAAAGAGGTTCCACTATGTTTGTTAGGACAGTATTTTGATAAACTTCGGCACTAGTTCTCACACCTTTTTCACAGAAAAACACCTCAGTTACGCCTGAATATGAGACTCCAAGCCAAACCATGAATGAGGAAGGGTAATGCCCACGCTGGACCCTCGCAATACGCGCGCTTGCTTCTTCACTGCTGTGGGCATACACCTTATCATTTTGTTTGTTAAAACTTTCTTCAATAGTAAAAATTTTTTCATCCGAAAAAAGAATTTCGCGGTATTTTTTTCCCGCGTACCGTCGTAGCAAAGCGCGGGATCTGTCTAGCCTAATTTTTTTTAAACGCTCGTTCAAAAAATGTCCTGTCTTTTTACGATAAGCTCGTAGTCCCAGGTCTTCATTTAGTACTCTTTTAACAGTGGTTCTGCTTAGCCCCATCTGCAGAGCTAGGATTTTTTGTTTACGTACGGGATTTCGTTCGATTCGCGCCTTCACTGCTTTGATGACCTTATGTGTCCGAACTGTGCGAGGTCGGCCGCTTCTCTTACGATCTTCGAAGCTTGACTCTTCGGTGTATCGTTTGATAGTACGATAAACAAACCGTAACGTTATTTTCAAATTTTGAAGAATATTGAAAATGTCTTTTGGCGCGTAACCACAGCGGTGCAACGCGATAACCGCGATTCTGTCTTCTTTATTCGACCACTCCATATTTAAAAATGAATAAAAAATAATTTCTTTTTTATTTTCTACAAGCGCGAAAGTTCTATTTTTAAAATAATTCGAAGAATTTCTGGCCAGTAATCGAAAATTAAAAATATAAGGTTTTGACAGAACTTATGACCCGACTAAGTAAAAGTCACATTGGTCCTTGCAACCATGAGGAGCAGGAGCCTTAATCTCTAGGCCACTGGAACCATTATAATGCCTGACCTCCAGGCTATTGCTCAAAAGTTGCAAATACCTATTAGCCAATATTGCCAAGTTTGGGAACTGTTACTCTTTTCACCAGCATCCTTAGACCTGAGACGGTTCACGGACCACAGGGTCCCGGTCATTTGGGAGGCGTACGAGGGGCCGGCCGGAGCCAACTGCGCAGAAGCCCTTTAGACAACTTTAATCTAAATGAAATGGGACATAAACTGGCGACTATCCCTTTATGCACTAAGGAAATGTACACAAAGACAGTCCCCGGTTAGTGTAGGACTATTGCGGATAATGGAAATAAGGGAAGAGGCTATGGGTGTGGGTTTCTTTGAACTACCATGATGGGAACTATGGCTTATTATTATGATTATTTTCAGGGATTTTCACTTCTTGAACTCGTTTTTGCAATATACGCCAAATGAAACGGTAACTAATCGATCATCTTATCGGTATCAAATGGGCGAGGGTCCTGGAGTGGACACGTATGGCCAAGTCCCCATTTCACGTGACACGACCCCGAGTAAACGTAAACATGGAAACAAGATCGCAAAGTTACCAGCGGCAAAAAAGTAAAAATTATGCTGTAACTAAACGCTATTACGAATTTTTTTATGTTTTTAGAATTTTAATTTTATGCGTTAGATCTTTGTAGTTTATCTAGAACTAGATATAATGATGTATATAGAAATGTAAACAAATCATAATAACTTTAGGCAGATAAAAAAATCGTAATCTGAAAATTGAGGACCGTTAGAATGTTAATGGCGCCCAAAAGGGACAATTGCAAATGGAATGAAATATTGAACTTCGGAAGGATTTATAATTAATTCAGTATATACAGTTACTGAGTATTTATTGTATAACTCAGTAACTTAAATAGTAAAGTCCTTTCAAAGATGAAACTTGGACGTTTCCATTTAAAAGACTTTTTTAAGTGCTTATGTAATTTTGTAAATAAATATATGTATACATAATTTACATCACGTTATCAAATAAAACAATTATTTTTACTCCATACAACTTTTATTTATTAATTCTGGTAACTTAAGGTACACTGTGAAACACAATGCGTACCTACATCTGCATATTATGGTCGTGGTGACACCCCGGTTGAGCCATAACTTTTTTTATGTTTTTATTACCTGATAGTAAGCAATCAGCGCCGACCGTGAGCTCGAGTACGAGGTCGTTGCCCATCTTTTTGGGTATTTTTGTTAAGGGATAAGTCTACAAATGATCAAACAGATTAATAGATGGAGAGTTATCAACGCCACACTAGACACCCTCAAAAACGGATGAGTTAAGGGTGCGTTGCCGAACTATTGGGGATTAGGGTTTTGAGGATTTAGGCATTGGGATAGCGGAAGGATTTAGCCTCCGGACGCTGTGATTGTTTCACGCACGGTTTTCTGTGAGACCGTCGTATCACTCCGGCGAACCGAAGCTTGGCTCTCTTCACACAACTGATCAATGTCATTCAATACTGCAATCACTTTTGCTTAAAGTTACCCCACCGAAGACATGCCCGTGTTGCCTCCTCAGATGCCTTCGCCAAGAATCTTTCGTTTTAAATTTACTCTCGCAATAAGTACAGCAAAAAGATCTGAATTCTTCGTGAGTCCTCTCATGCCGTTTCTGATCACATTTCGTAAAAAATCGCAGACCACATTTCGAGCATGGATAATTGCGTTCCTTTATATGCACGGAACGTATATGAGTTTTCAAATTGACAGGCGAACAAAACGTTTTTCCGCATTCCGGGCAATTACAGATCGGTCTTTTAAAACCATGTTCTTTGATCTTATGTTCATCGACCATATAAGTGTAGAGAAAATGCTTATTACACAAGTTACAATATCGTTTTGTGTTTTTAATCCCGTGCGCTTGTCTCAAATGCTTGATACGTGACGCACTTGTCAAAAAAACGGCGGGACATTTCGAACATTTTTTTTCTTTATGCTGACATTGAACGTGCATTCGCAAACATCTGCGGTTTATGAAAGACTGCCCGCAAATCTCACAAACATTATAAGGAAAATGGCTATTCATATGAATAGATAATTTCATATAAGATTTGAATTTTTCATCGCATAACAGACATTGGTAAGGGCAGCCATCTTGCAATTTGTATGGCACTAAATAATGCTCTGTTCCACGCAACGAAATATCGTGTTTACTTTTTAAATGATCAATTAGATCTGGCAGGTTGTTACAATTTTCTGAACAGTTGTTGCATTTTAAATCTGTTATTTCAGCGTTTTTGCAGGATAAGCCGCGTAATCTACCGACAATTAAAGACAGCGTTTTTGGATTTCTATGTGTACTGTAGTGATCCCTTAAATGACTAAACTCTGGGTATTTTAACGGGCAGAATACACAACCAAATTTATTTCGGAACGATCTGAAGAGGCAAAGATTTGAGTTCTGTATTAATTTCAACGTATTCTCGCTTTTACATCTCAAATGTGGGTCTTTTTCGTTTGACTCTTCTTTTTTCTTTTCAGTTTTAATTTGTTTAGCTGGAAGAAATAAAGTTGAAGTTAGACATTTAGTAATTATTGTTCTATTAAAAGTTCTTATTGTAAAAGATAAAATTATATATTATAGGACGAGTCTTACATAGCAATTTCACAATGATATTTTAAAACCCTACACCTACAATCCTTAAAACCAATTTCTCTTTATCCGAATCAAAAATTCAACCTTAACCTATGGCTACCCCAGAGAGGCGGCCCGCGCGAGGGAGCAATCCTCCTCCTCACGCCCCAGCAGCCGCAACTGGCGACACTACGGGCGTCGGGGATCGAGGGACGATCTCCGGCCACCGTAAGCACGGGCCTGCGGTCGGCGAGTAAGGGCAGCTCGCCGCCCGACCAGAACCAGGCCCGAGCGTACGTTCCGCGCGCGCCTCAAAGAGCCATTCGACCACCACAGACGGGGCCCTAAAGGGCTGATGTTCAGCCGGGGTTGCGGGGTAAGTGCAATGAGATACCGCGACCTCGGCACAAAGCAGGAGAAGGAACAGGGAGGTTTTTAGTCAGTAAGAGTCTGACACTCCCTCCTGCCCGGCCCTGGGCGGGAGAAGTCATTTGATGATTTTCCACTCACAAAAAAAAAAAAACCTATGGCTACCCCAATAGACGTTTTACTAGTGTCGACGTTAACGACGTGTTTTCGCAACGTCGTTGCGCAAGGTCACCTTTGTTGCCACCGAGTGTATGCCAAAGACTATAATTTGATAGAGCAGGACGGCGTGAATGTACCTGTTGCCAACAAACGCGACGTTGACTTCGCGTCCAGAGGACGTTATTGCTTGCCACGCAACGACGCGGCCTAGATGCTGCGCAAACGCGACGTTGAAGTCAACGCCCGTAAAACGTCTAGTGGGATAGCAGCCTATAAATTTAGGCGTATGGATCTAATGAACATTCATTCGAATACAGGAGCGAATACATTCGAATAAAAACGCGCTAAAGTAGCTAATACTATAATTAAGTAAGAATTCAACTCGTATTCGGGCATTGTACAGTGCCACTTTTTCTGCCACCAGGCAGCGCATAGATTGCCGAACTGAAGATTAAGCTCAAAAAGTGTACCAATGTGTGTTTATTTGCACACATACCACCACGCAATACTGTGGCATTTTGTATAACAATCAGCCTCTCACAGCACAACTTTAGAATGATCTTTCAGCGATGATATTATCGAACCGAAAAACGAGTGAAGTCCGTCTTACTCTTTCAGATGTGGTAATAAGAGACACAATTGGGTAGTTTCTTAGGTCAAAAATAAATTAATTCGACGTTTCAATACAATAAAATATCAAAAAATAACTATACTCTTATTCATCGATCGATCGGTACATAAAATTTTAGATATTTTTTAGCTAATTGTTAAGAAATAAGTAAGCTATTTGACGCAAAAAAACTATGACGTCATAGCTCAGTGTTTCATACAAATTTCATAGAAGAGTATCGTTTTTGACGTTTGGATAAAAGTATTGAATTTGACTAGTTGGAAACTACCGTATTGGTGCACTAACGTCGGCGTTCGCTTGGGGGTTGATGTATTAAAACGCAGGCAATCCGCCGGAGACGCCTCTGGCGTCCAAAGCCAGTGCTGATAACTTACCACCAGGAGAAGTCGTTTGCCTCCTATTCCATAAAAAATAAATACCTGCACAACTTTTCTTCTTGATAATTCTGCTGTCAGAATCTTTAATATCTTCAAAATCGTAATCATCATCTTCTAAATCAATTAATTTGGCGTAAGTATCATTACTATAGTCTTCATCATTGATTAAAGCATCAGTTAGATGGTTTTTTGAATCATCATTTTCCGTGGGTATTTGTAAATTTTCTTTTGAAACCGTTACATTTGAATTTTTAACGCTTCTTTTCGTTTTTAATTTTAAATTGTTAGAGCTTTTAAGACCGTCATTTTTGCTGAAGCCAATATCGTTAGTGGTATTTTTGATGACATTACTTGTTTCTTGAAACATTTTTATTTGTATTGCTTTTGAATCGAACTTATCTTGATTTAATGAGATTACTAAATGATTTTGCCCTGAAATAATAAAAAAAACGTATTAAGATCAAGGAAAAATATATGAAAATGCACATATTTGGTTTTAATAAAATAATGAGAGATTTTTCCGAAAGTCAAAATTTAAATGAAAAACGTTAATTCCAACTAAATCATTAGTAGGCACTTATGAAACGTCAAAACATAATAATAGTCCAATGGCTTATTAGTCAGTGAAGCTAGGTGCTCGTTTCAAAATGTTAGATTCAGATGGAGAACGAGAAATAAACTCCATGGTTACTCTTTTAAAAACATATCTACCTGACCAATATTATAACCCGAGCTTTGCTTACGTTGTACTTCAAACCACACGACCAATGTGTCTATCTTTTTAGCTTTTGTATACCTTTTTTTTGTGAGGGGAAAATCATCAAATGACTTCTCCCGCCCAGGGCCGGGCGGGAGGGAGTGTCAGCCTCTTACTGACTAAAACCCCCTGTTCCTTCTCTTGCTCTGGGCCGAGGTCGCGGTGCCTCATTGCGCTTACCCTACAACCCCGGCTGAACATAAGCCCTATAGAGCCCCGTCTGTGGGGGTCTATTGGCTGTTTGAGGTGCACGTGGAACGCTACGCGCCGTACGCTCGGGCCTGGTCCTGGTCGGGCGGCGAGCTAACCTTACTCGCCGAGCTTTTGTATACCTAAACTTACCTTTTTCAGTATCAGTAAAGTTTTCCCAATGGAAGTCACTATCTTCAACAGTATCACTCAAATCCAGATTGCAATCATATATCGCATTATTATTATCTTCAAATTTTTTACCTATAATGTCAAAATTCATTATTAGTCCCTGTTGGGCGCCAATAGTGAAATGCAAACACGAATATATTAATAGTAAATACCTAATGTACCTATTTCTGCAGTTCATTTTGTAGAAAACAAAGTATCTGGTCTACGAAGACTTACTTTCTAATTAAAAGAGATTATGTGAGATATTAAAGTGATCTCTATAATATGCAGTTCTACCTACCCAACAGGTTTTACTACCTGCCCTACCTATCCAGGGATAATTTATTTTGTACTTTAAGTTTTTATATATTGTAGCAAAATACTGGTTACTTATGTCTTCCCCATATTGTATAACTAAATCAAATAATTGTAAAACACCTAGATTCGGAAATTAACAATATGATGCAAAATAAATTTTCAACGAAATTGCCTTAAAATTGATCTTTGAAAAGATCAGTGATAAGGTTCTAACATACCTTTTCTAAATCAGGTTTCAAAATGTATCTTTTAAAAACTTAATTTTATTACTTACTTAAATCTGCGGCAATACATTCCCATCCAACGCTTTTTCTCATTGCCTCCTGTATATCCAGAATCCTCATCTTAAATGCTTCAGCATCTCGGAGCTTAGAGACACACTCCTCACAGATAAGATTTCTGTGACCATTATCAGTTGTGATCTGAAAAAATATTGTTGATTCTTGGAAAATGCAATAAGCATCTACAGTAAATCTCAGCATCATCATCATATAAGTGCCCATAACTGAGCAAAGGCCTCTCTTCTCTCTCATGGATTGATAATTTCAAACAAATGAAATTATAAGACCAGGTCTACCGTAAGATTGGGTTACTTTGACCCTGGGAGGTAACTTTGATCCAAATTTTCGAACCAGTGAAAAACTAATATACGTTTGGTTCTCAGTTATTATTGGTTAAAGGGTTTGGATCAAAGTTACCCTGCAGGATCAAAGTTACCCGAACTTACCCGGTATTTTTTTCACCATTTGCTAGTGATGTCTAAATAAGAAAGTACATAATATGTGTGACTAGGAAAATTCATTCAGGTATAACCGTTGCCCAGCACTAAATAATTATAAATTTATAGAGATATTAACGAAATAGATATAATGTGTATGCAAATCAAAATTACTCACTTTGATATTAAAAACATTAATCAACATATCGCAGTAATTTTCTATTTTATTGCCGAAATAGTAATCATTGGCCATGTCTTTATAACATTCCTGTGATAAACAACACTTGCAGTAGTGTTTTTCTTTCATGATTTTGATTTTAAAATGGTTTTAACATAAATACGAATATTTTGCAATAGGTATTTATCTTTTTTATTTATTTTGGTTTTTTTAAACGTTCCGCCACTGGTTGTGCTATTTTATTAAAACTAGAGCATAAGAAAGAGACACATTTACGAAATTACTCTTTAGTAAAAGTGAGACAAAAAATGATAGACAGATGTGACATTGTACTACTTGACAGCAAAGCATCGATTTACTACGTTTAGTTGCTTTTTGTTTAGTTGTTTTTAGACATTTTAGACACTTTCCATTTCCATGGACCAAAATTAATAAAAGTGAACATTTATTAATTTCAATACTTTTAACATGTAAAAGCCTTGTTAATGTCCAACAATCTCGTAAGATTAAAATCTCAAAAATCTAGTATGAGCTGGTAAAATTGGCAACACTGTAGCAAAGCTGTCATCTTGTCATATTGACTATTATTGACGAAATTTGTTGTAATTTGACGAATTTTGTTTGATTTTTGTGTAAAACAACAACAAATATAACATTACATGCACTGAACAGAATTGTCATTATTCATGTAACCACAAAATAATATATTTTAATAAAAATGGCTACGAAAAAGGGCAAAGGACCGCTGTTTGAGGGCGGTTTATGTCGATGTTGCGGAAATATGAAAAAATGTCGTGTTTTGAACATAGAATACGAGAGTTTAGGCCAAAAAGAGATTTATTCGGATATGATAATGGATTGCTTCGGTTTACTGGTAAAATTTCATTGCTATCAAACCTTTTTACTAAGTTTCTAGTTCGGCCTTTTATGGTTTCCTTTGAGTCCATTTTTATTTTATTTTACACCTTCTTTCAACTAATTTTAATAGCTATTTTGGTCTAAGTAACGCTAATGTGTCGACAAAACTCTTATATATGTTCTATGTGCTGTAGATTGCCAATAGATTTAATAAAAATGTGCACAAACACTATATAAAAGCAATAATTGCATAGGTTTCATCTGTGATTACAACAAAGTGCTTCGTTGCTCAGAATTTATCTGAATGCAATGTTAAAAAATCTATTGTTCATAAAATCTATTCTATTTCCACACATAGTCAGAAATACAGAAGTACTTACTGCTATGAAAACATTAAATTAATAATCTTAAAAAAGTTTAAATATAAAAATTAAATACTGCATTACTAAGAACCTTGCATTGTGCTGGTATTCTTCTAGCCCAATATGTGGTTTGCAAATGAAAAAAATGAAGCAGTCAAAGGCAAAAATAAGTTAATTTCTTAAAAAAAACTTCCTTGCAGACAGATAAAAAATAAAAAAAAAACAATAAAACAGATAATATTCCACAATGACATTAAGCAAAGATTTTTAGAAGTATCTTAAATTTATTTAGTTTATATATTTTTTTAAATTTTTAGTTGTTATCCATTTTCAAATTAAAAACAACTATTAGGATATATATTTTATCTATGGCACAATTAAATGAAAACAATATTTCTCTGTAAATAAATACAACAACTAAGACTTTCTTCCTTAGCTATCACACTTAGATGGTGTCCCATCAGAACGTCTGATCTGTGCGACCTGTGTCACCCGAATACGTGATGCATTGAGTTTCCGGAGACAAGTATTGAGGTGTGAAGAAGCATTCCTACAGATGAAGATTTATGATGCTCAGAGTGATGGTAGGTATATTTTTGTGATAGGTTACTTAAATCCGCCGGGGTTGCGGGGTAAGGCCGGGGTTGCGGGGTAAGGCCGGGGTTGCGGGGTAAGGCCGGGGTTGCGGGGTAAGCGCAATGAGGCACCGCGACCTCGGCCCAGAGCAGGAGAAGGAACAGGGGGGTTTTTAGTCAGTAAGAGTCTGACACTCCCTCCCGCCCGGCCCTAGGCGGGAGAAGTCATTGGATGATTTTCCCCTCACGAAAGGTTACTTGAATCCGGCTTCATTTAGTTTTTCACATATAAATTGACGTGTAAAAGTGCCGTTTTATGGTCTATTTGCTAAAATAAATTTATTGTTTCATTCGTTCATTGAATAACTGATAAATAAATTCTTTTGATTTTTTTGAATCATCATTTTCCAGCCCTTTTATTTGGGGTCGGCGCAATATGTTTTTTCTTCCATTCTGTCCTGTCACCCGTCACGCTATCGCTAACTCCTCTGTATTCCATATCACTATCTTTTGTTTTAAAATATTTTTTTTAAGTGCTTTTACGATGTATGTAATATGCGTATTTATCTAGGTAATTTACATAAAATAAGGGAAAGTTAATAATTAATCCTCAAGTCCCCTATCCTTAACCCGTGGTGTGCCAGAGTGTGGATCCACGCGAGTCACAATGTTTTCTATTGTCTGTCATATGCCGGCAGACAAGAGGTTAAATCCAAACTTACAAACTAATATAATAAATGCGAAAGTAACTCTGTCTGTCTGTATTTTCTTCACGCCTAAACTACTGAACCTATTTGTGTGAAATTTGGTACAGACATAGTTTGGAACTCGAGAAAGGACATAGGATAGTTTTTATACCAAAAATCTGCAGGAAGTCACTATTCCACGCGAACGGAGTCGCGGACAAAAGCTAGTCTCTTTAAACCAACAATCGCCCAGCAACGCACTTGTAATAACTCCTTTGGTTTTACGAGTAGAGCGGCGCTGATTGCTTACCATCAGGTTATCCGAATATTCGTTAGTTGCCATGAAAATAGAAAAATGTCTTTCCAGATCCAGAATCGAAGATAGAAAGCCAGTGGCATTCGAAGGCCAGTATTGAGGTGGTAGTGAAGGCTGAACCGGTACCGATGGAAGCGCAGAGCGATGACGAAAATTGTGAAGATACCCTCGCTGATACCCCAGGTATTTATTAAGGCGTCGCGGCCTCGGCCCTGATTAGAGGAACGGGGGGTTTTTAGTCAGTAAGAGTCTGAAACTCCCATCTCTCTTACTGTTTGAATGCCAAGCTCCAGGTGTGTTGCTGGTGGTCTTGACTAATAAAAGACTTCGATATATGCGAAATAGACTATATTTAATATATAGGTACTGATTGTAGTCAGCCGTTATGTGCGCACGGTGTCGTGTCGGGCGAGCGAGCGAGCGAGTGAATGAATGACCGCCGATCGCCGCGCGGACCACGACGTATGATGGTGAGCCCGGTGTGACGTCAGGAACACTTACTGTTACTGTATAAAAACCCCACCTTGAGTGGGAGAAGTCATTTGATGACTTTCCCCTCACAAAAAAAAGATACTTATTATTTATCCCTAAGTTTTAGAGCGCGTCGCGTTCCTCTGAGCCATCAGATTAATGGAGGGGAGGAGGGGGCGGAGTCAAAGTCGAAATTATTTATTTCAATTAGACCCTTACAGAGCACTTTTGAATTTAAAACAAAGCTTAAATAAAAGGTGTCAGTCTGTCGGTCAGTGAACAAAATTAGAAGGATTTGGTCTCCGGTGTATTTAGACACCACGGTCATATGGTAAAGGAAAACATCGTGAGGAAATCTGGACTGTTCACGCATCAATCGCGTGATCATGTGGACTGGTGTCACCGACGGCTGAGGCGCGGGCGTGGTGTAGAAGACCGGCGCGCGAGCAGTTCTTCGGGGAACCACTTCACCAGCAGACGGCTTGACCGACACTTTCTTTGTTACGTTATAATATACTTAATTTTAAACTAAATACAGTCCACATCATTTTTAATCTCCCTGAGCTACTGAACAGGACTTTAATTTCTAATTATAAGTTTGAAATCGCCCATCCGCGTTGAGCAAGCGTGGCGATTAATGCTCAAACTTTCTCCGTGTGAGAAGAGGCCTTTGCTCAGCAGTGGGCACTTATAGGCTGATGTGTTATTGTTTTCAGATCCTGATTTAAAACAAGACAAAGTAAGTGACGAAGATGACGAACCATTAATAAAACGTCACGCCACGCAACCCATTGAGGAGACAGACAGAACACTAGAAATTAATACACCTGTTATACAACCCCTCAAATCTGAGACGCAGATGCCAAAAACGCCAGTGGCGCCATCTCTTCCCGTAGTACAGACACAGAGTGAGTTAAATTTGACGTGTTTAAATGTTTTTTTTTATGTGATAGGACGGAAAACGAGCATGGGTATTACCTGATGGTAAGCAATCAGCGCCGCCCATGGACACCCGCAGCAACGAAAGAGCTATGTGTGTGGATTAGGAGTGGGGATGGGGATTGGGAGTGGGGAAGGAATGGGCCTCCGGAACCACACTCACACGGCGAAACACAACGCTGTGGTAGTTTCACGCTGGTTTTCTGTGAAGCCGTGGTATCACGCCGGTCGACCCGACCCATTCGTACCGAAGCTTGACTCTCCCACACTTAGGTTTATAATTATTTATATATTCCTAGATTTGAAAGTCTTAAATTTAAAAAAAAATTGTCCACAGAACTTCCCATGGCGAAAGTACAGCAGATAATGCGAGAAAGGGATTCCTCATATATGACGGAAACTAACGTCTTAACAATAGTAGAATATTCCTTTGTCTGTCCGTTCAAATGCAGACATAATCACCTCCTATGCTACTATTGTGGCGAATTATATTCCGATCCAGACCTTTTAAGGCAGCACACACAGAATATACACCATCCGAAAAAATTTAAGGTCACGGAACATAAGAAAATGGTCAAAATCGACCTCACTAGAATCGATTGTAGATTGTGTACGACGAAAATCGACGATTTAGAAACATTCAAAAAACATATATCCGAGGTCCACAAAAAGAAGTATTATTTCAAATATAAAGATTCAGTGTTGCCATTTAAATTGTCGCGGGACGAAATGAAGTGCGCGATATGTAATGTTTTGTTCCCGTATTTTCATGCTCTAAATAAACACATGAATGAACATTTCAGTAATTATGTTTGCGAGACATGTGGCTTAGGTAAGTGTATTATTTATAATATAAAAATGAATCGTAAAATGTGTTGGTAAGCGCATAACTCAAAAACGGCTGGACCAACTTTGGCCAATCCTTTTGTTTTGTATTTATTATTGTCAGGAGAAGGTTCTGATGAAAGAAAATATTTAAAAAGTAGAGGGGAAATTGGGAAAAAGTGACCCTTTCATTGTTAGCGAGATAGTTGGGCCCGTGCGAAGCGGGGGTGGCCGCTAGTACATTATAATTTTGTTCTTATGTGATATTTACGGGAAGACGGATTACCTGATGGTAAGTTATCTGCATCTAGAGGAGTTACGAGTACATTGCCAATATTTTGTGCGTTATTACAAAGAAAGAGTAATGCGTTTATTCGGCACTAGATGTGAGGCCAGAAACAAAAAATATATACCTATATTAGGAATTAAGTATATAACACTAGCTTTTGCCCGCGACTTTGTTCGCGTGGAATAGTGACTTCCTGCAGATTTTTGGTATAAAAACTATCATATGTCCTCCCTCGAGTTCTAAACTATGTCTGTATCAATTTTCACACAAATAGGTTCAGTAGTTTAGGCGTGAAGAAAACACAGACATACAGAGAGTTACTTTCGCATTTATTTTAAATGCGAAAGTAACTCTATACCAAAAATCCACGAGAACTGAGTCGCGGGCAAAAGCTAGTATTCGATAAAATCGTTTCGAGACGCTGCTTTCCGGAGACAACTTTGCAATTTTCTTTTATATTTCTCGTATGAACGCAGTGTAAACAGTTTTATAACTTTTCATATAATAAATATTCTGTTGTCGTAGTGACATATCTATTGGTTAACCTCACCTCACTGAAAACGCAACTGCCTAAAAATCACCGTTTCTTCGCCGAGGTACAAAACTGTAAAGACAATCAATCTAATAATCCTGCCTACCCACTATAAGCATTAACAAAAATGTTTTCAAAGGTTTCGTCGACAAAAGCCGTTTTGTGATGCACCAACAAAGGCACGAGGAAGGCGACTTCCCCTGTCCGGACTGCGGCAAAGTGTTCAAAGCGCTATACAACAGAGATTTACATATAGACAGGGTCCACCGCAAGAAGGGACGTGTTTACTGCCCGAAGTGTGACGTCAAACTGATGTCTTACCCGCAGAAGTTGAAGCATTTGGTCGAGGTTTGTGAATTTTTTTTTCGATGTACCCTCATTTTGTTTTGGGATGAAATGGAAGGGTTAAGTGTGTGAATTGTTGGTTGGTGTTTGTGTGTGTTGTGAGTATTTGTGTGGGAAGGCAAGACATTTTTTAACTACCCTCAATTTCTTTGGTTTTTGAAACAATGAAACAATGAATTTATTTTTGCAAATAGGCCATAAAACGGCACTTTTACACGTCAAATTATACGTGAAAAACTAGATGAAGCCGGCATTTCCTATCTGACTACTCTGAGAAGAAATGCCGAAACAAACTCAGAGGTCAGTCTCTTTTCAAGTCCAGACAATGTAAAAATAACATAATGTGAGAGCACTTTGTTAATTTGTGTAAAACAAATGTATCTTAGGCTTTTTTTTCAAATTGCATTTGATGATAGAATTTTTTTTTTTAAGTTTGTGTGTATTAGTATTATAGTAGGTGTGAAGGCTGCGAAGACATTTTTCAACTACCCTCATTTTCTTTTGTTATTTTGTTTTAGTTTTAAACGTAATGTGTCGTATGCTTTTTATTTCAAGTCGGATAAAAAGGTGATAAGTGTGTGAAATGTGTATGTGTGTATTGTATTGTTCGTCGGACAACTCAGAAGCACTTGCTATACTGGTTGCAATCTGACACTTGCGTGCCTGTCTTCAGAACGGGTCCACTTAAACTGGTGTGGTTCTTTCCTCAAAAGACCACTACAGAATGAACTTGCACGGTTCTCTCACATTATGTTATTTTTACATTGTCTAGACTTGAAAAGAGACTGACCTCTGAGTTTGTTTCGGCATTTCTTCTCAGAGTAGTCAGATAGGAAATGCCGGCTTCATCTAGTTTTTCACATATAATTTGACGTGTAAAAGTGCCGTTTTATGGTCTATTTGAAAAAATAAATTCATTGTTTCATTAGTTTCATTGTGTTATGGGTATGGAGGCGAGACATTTTTGAACTACCCTCCAATTTGTTTCGCATGTGTAATATTTAGGGAGGAAAGGATATGTTAGATTGTTTTTTGTCGATTTTTTTTTGCTTGTTTGTGTTTATTATTTGCGTACGTTTTTATCTACATAACTAGCTCTTACCCGCGGCGTCGCTCCCGTCATTTGACTATCTACCCTACTTACCCTACCTACCCTACTCTACCTACCCTACTCTACCTACCCTACTCTACCTACCCTACTCTACCTACCCTATACCTACTCTACCTACCCTACTACCCTACTCTACCCTACTCTACCTACCCTACTCTACCTACCCTACTCTACTACCCTACTCTACCTACTACTCTACACTACTACCTACCCTACCCTACCTACTACCTACCTCTACTCTACTACTACTACTCTACCTACCCTACTCTACCTACTACTCTACTACTACCCTACTCTACCTACTCTACTCTACCTACCTACTCTACCTACTACCTACCTACCTACTACTACTACTACTACTCTACCTACCCTACCTACTACTCTACTCTACTACTACCTACTCTACCTAACCTACTCCTACCTACTCTACCTACCTACTCTACCTACCCTACTCTACCTACCCTACTCTACCTACCCTACTCTACCTACCGTACTCTACCTACCCTACTCTACCTACCCTACTCTACCTACCCTACTCTACCTACCCTACTCTACCTACCCTACTCTACCTACCCTACTCTAGCTATCTTACTCTACCTAACCTACTCTACTTACCCTACTCTACCTACCCCACTCTACCTAACCTACTCTACCTAACCTACTCATCCTGCTCTATCCTATCCTATGTCCTTCTCCTGGCTCTAAACTACCTCCCTGCCAATTTTCAGCTAAATCGGTTCAGCCGTTCTTCAATTATAAGTGGAGTAACTAACACGACTTTATTTTATATATAATTATAGATTTTATGTGTGGGATGTTTTTATGCGTATTTTTTTTTGTATTCAGTTTAACTCGTTGGGAAGTTTCGAATTAAATGACTGATGTTATATTATTTTTGTAGGTACACGGAGAAGAGCCGCTTAGTTTTCCTTGTTCGATGTGTGAAAGGATATTCGATACGCGACGGACGCTCACCATTCATCGACGGAAAGACCATCTTAAAGATTACAGGTAATTTAAAATGTGGACCATGAGAGCCATGCTTCGGCACGAATGGGCCGGCTCGACCGGAGTGATACCACGGCCTTACAGAAAACCAGCAAACAATCAATGTCTTGTGCAGTCTGAGTGTGGTTACCGGAGTCCAATCCTTCTCCTTCCCCGATACCTAAATCTCCGAAACCAATTGATTTCTATATAATTTTTTTATAGAAATGAAGGATTGGACCTCATCTGGCAGCACGGAGTCGCCTTTTTCCGTCGCCCTTTCTCTTTCTGTCGCTTAGAACTGCTATTTGCTAGACTGAGACAGAAAGCATAATGCGATAGCACGCCGCGGAATCCTCGAGGCATCACGGACTAAATACAATGGTCGGCAGTGAGACTCCGGAATGCTGAAGCGTGCGATAGCATGCTAACGCGTCCTTTAACCTTTTTGTGCGATCGCCTTTTTTGTCTGCGAAATGCGATAGCGCGCGATCGCATGCGCAGCACGTGGTAGTATAGGCGAAACAAATGCGAATCTGTTTTTATAATAACTATCGTGAGACATACTAAATTAACTGAAAATCGCGGGTTACTCACGTGTAAATATTGAGAAAAGCTCTACTAGTTTCGAACCACAGTAGGCTGCGCGACGTCGCCGCGTCCGCGCACGCTGCTCATGAGGAAGAACCCCTCTGTGGTTCGAAACTAGTAGAGCTTTTCTCAATATATACACGTGAGTAACCCGCGATTTTTAGTTAATTTAAATGCGAATCTAATTGGTTTATTGGGTATACTAATCGGTTTCGGAGATTTAGGTATTGGCGAAGAGAAAGATTAGGCTTCCGGTAACCTCACTCATACGGCGGTACCCTATTTTCTTATAGACATTTTAAAGCTATAATTTCCTTTTTCAGGTACGAATGCCAATGTTGTGGCCAAAAATTCTTCACGCGATTCGCATTGAACAATCACATGCCGACACACACCGGCGAGAGAAACTTCAAGTGTAAGGTTTGTGAAAAGTGTTATCCTCGACTCAAAACTCTGAAAGATCACATGAGAATACATACTAATGATAGGAGGTACCGATGCCACGTTTGCGGACAGGCTTTCATACAGAACTGCAGTTTGAAAGGTCATATGAAGAGCCAGCATCCTGAATATGAAATGAGAATGTAGATGTAAGGGGATAAATATGAAGATCTTTTGGTATATCCAGAAATCTGTGTTGGTTTAAGTGTGGGAGAGCCATGCATGGGTCGGCTCGACCGGAGTGATACCACGGCCTCACAGAAAGCCGGCGTGAACCACAGCGTTGTGTTTCGCTGTGTGAGCGAGGTTACCGGAAGCCCAAACCCTCCCCCTTTCCAATCCTTAAATATCCGCAACCCTTATCTCCAAAAGGCCGGATACACACTCATTCTTCAGCTTCTTTGGTACTGCGGGTGTCCATGGGCGGCGCTGATTGCTTACCATCAGGTAATCCGTCAGCTCGTTTGCCGACTTATTCCATAAAAAAAACTGATAACTGGGAAAGTGGAAGGAAAGAGGACTAGGGGCAGAAGTCTGATACGTTGGATCAGATTCGCACCACTATCAAAACTACAGTCCACGATGCTTTTCACTCGGCGGCAGATAGAAATAGATGTCGGAGAGTAATACGCTGTACCCTGCTTCCACGGTGGCCACGACCTTCAGCGTGGGAGGAAGGAGATTAGATATCTAGAAATCTGTTTTGGATTAGTTCAAAAATCTATGATGGAAAAATACAGCAATCTGATTTAAGAAAAATCCAGTAATATGATTGGAAAAACCAAGTAATATGGTTGGAAAAATCCAGAAATCTGTGTTGTGTTAATACAGAAATCTGTTTTACAATAATCCAGCAATCTACGATTGAAAAATATAGCAAATATAGCAATTCAAGGTAATTCAGTAATCTGACTGGAAAAACCAAGTTAATATTGTTGGAAAAATCCAGAAATCTGTGTTGTGTTAATCCAGAAATCTGTTTTACAATAATTCAGAAATCAACGATTATAAAATACAGCAATCTTATTCAAGGAAAATTCAGTAATCTGACTGGAAAAACTAAGTTAATATGGTTGGAAAAATCCAGAAATCTGTGTTGTGTTAATACAGAAATCTGTTTACAATAATTCAGATATCAACGATTATAAAAATACAGCAATCTGATTCAAGAAAATCCAGTAATCTGATTGGAAAAACTAAGTTAATATTGTTGGAAAAATCCAGAAATCTGTGTTGTGTTAATACAGAAATCTACGATTGAAAAATCTGTTTGGAATAGATACAGTTATCTGGCTGGAAAAATACAGTAATCTGGTTGCAAACATCTAGTAAAAAGGTTGGGAAAATTCAGAAAACTGTATTGTGTAAATAAATGTACTATCCAGGTATAAAAGTCCGTGTATATTATAAGGAAATTAAGACACACTGCCATTGATGATTCATAATATATGTATTAAGTTTTCTCAGATTGAGAAATCCGGCTTCATTTAATTTATTTATATACATTTTTCTAAAAAAATGTTAACATATTGATAACTATGTAAACAAAAAACTATTTATAATTAGGTAGGGAAGTAAATAAAGATTGATTTAGAAAAGACAGTACCTAACTACCGGTTGTTTAAAGCCGACCCAGTAATTTAAATGTAAGCGTGGGAGAGAGAATGGATCGGCTCGACCGGAGTAATACCACGGCCTCACAGAAAACCGGCGTGAAACAACCACAGCGTTGTGTTTCGCCGTGTGAGTGAGGTTACTGGAAGCAAAATTTTCGTCCCCCAATCCCTAAATCTCCAAATCCCTAATCCCCTAAAGACTGACAACGCACTCGTCACTCCTCTGGAGCTGCGAGTGCCCACGGTTGCTTACCATCAGGTAATCCGTCTGCTCGTTTGCCGTAACACGGACTAAAAAGACTGTAAATTTTCATATTCAAATTCGAAGTCAAAATCATTTATATCAATTCAAACCCTCACAGGCAGTTTTCAACGTAAAACTAAATTTTAAGGATATAAAGTCAGTCAGCCTGTAGGTCAGCCCTCTAGTGAAGCTATTTGCTCGTTCCAAAGTGTAGATTCCAATGGTGAAGAACGAGCAAGAAACTCCATGGTTACTCTTTTTCAATCAGTTTCACATAAAGATTCTTTGGTACATTATTTAGTTGGTTCGATTATGTGAGAACAGTGTCATGGTAAAATTTGTGAGTTTGTATGTAGGGGGTAATCTTTGGAACCGCTGGTCGGATTGCCAAAATTCTTTCACTGATAGATAGCTACAATGTTCCTACAAGCTACAGTGCTATGAGCTATAAAACATAACGCTACGGCTGAATGGAGCCGAGCAGCGGGTGAAACCGCGCGAGAGTAGCTAGTACACTATAATTTAGTGTAATAATAGCTACTGTCTATATACTGAGTCGATCTTTATTTACTTTTCTACATGCTATTCTTTTTCACTGTAAATATATGTACAAATTAATTTTATGTAGCAAAATAATATAGTTCTTATTTTTAAATGAATAGTGTACATAATTGTTTTAGTAACATTGTACATAATTATATAATTATTTATTTTTATTACTATGTACTTTATTGTAAAGCACATAGTTACATTGGATAACTTACTTGAACTGTGTATTTTTAAGTATTTAATGTATATACTTCTAGCAGACCTAGCCACACGTTGCTGTGGCTAAGGTAAATAACATTGTGACTATAAATTGAGATGTAAGCTATCCTATCTTTCAACTTGGATCAAAATGCACACGGAATGCAAATCAAATTTAAAATCGGTTTAGTAGTTTAGGAGTCCATCGCGGACAAAGACGTGACACGAAATTTTTATATAATTTTTTATGACAGGTAACGACCGCAGCGCACAACACGGCAAAAATTGGAAACAAATGCGGATAATCAGCTGTCGGTATTATATTCATTTTACAATAAAACTATTGAATAAATTGCACTTAAATAATGTCAACAATAATATTTTAATCTTTGGTTTTATTTATTTATATTTGCAAAGAAAATTATAATGTTTAGGTACATTATTATTATTTGACAGCTTCCGCAAATGTTGTAAACGCTACGCGTCGCCACCGTCGCGCACATAGCCAATATTATATGTAAAAAAATAATGGACTCTACTAAACAGATTTTGTGAAATTTTGTAGGTATTGTTTTACTTATGATGCTTCTCATACAAGAGGGTGCGAGACCGAAAGTTGGCAAGCACCAATGTGACTTTTTCCGAGTTATATGTATTTTCTATGATTATTTAGACATCACTGACATACGGTGAAGGAGAAATCGCGTGACACCTTTTTTTTTTCAAAAACATTGCCCAACTTTAGGGTTTTCTCTTGTGTCGTGGGTGCGTTTACAAACATACAATTCCACATGCACATCACAGCCAGACCCTGAAAAACAATTTGTGGATCACACAAAGAGTTGTTCGGTGCGGGAATCAAACCGGCGACACGTTGCTCGGCAGCCAGTTGCCCAGCCACCGCGCCAACTGACAGTCCATAAACCAAAAACCTGGACTTATAATTTCTAATTATAAGTTTTGAAATCGCCAATCCACCTTGAGCGAGCGCTGTGTTTATTGCTCAAACCTTCTCCGTGTGAGAAGAGGCTTTTGCTCAGCAGTGGAGACTTATAGGCTGATGATGATATACTGACTTACCGAAGAAGCAAAGGCGTATTCAACCTAGTTAGCGCCCTAGGAACCTCATCTCATAGGAACCCTTTATTTTTATTTATGAGATCCCTCCTACATCTTTGTCAGTCTATGAGCAACGCCCCTTAGCGACCCTTCCTAACCAGGCGCCCTAAGGATTTGTCTATACTCGGAATTTTAATTCCATTCCAGATTTGACAATTTCAGTGTTGCAACGTTATGACACGTAATAAATAGTGACGTTGCGAAATTATTCGATATGGAAATCGAATATTTCTGAATCGATTTCTTTCGTTTATAAATTTACTCTTGTAAACTAAGTTTATCAGGAAATTAAATATTTCTGAACCAATAATTTAGTTTTGACAATTAATTAACGATCTGAGACTTTTCTTTTGTAATTGTGTGTGAAATTAATAAAAAATGTGATCATGAAGGAAATTGACAAATAAAGCAGACATTTTATAAATTGTCGCCATCATCGCTATCGCTATCGCCGTTACTCTATGCAACATTTATTATGAATTGTGTCTTTGATATTTATTGTCAATTAACATATCTAGCTTACTCATTTTTTCATCTTCTTTGAAAACATGGGATACACATTTAGACCATTCGGTAGCCGTAATTTTTTGAATGCCGTCCTGAAACTGATTCACTGATTGTTTATCGATTTTTGTGTTCATCACTACACTGTTATATGTGGTATCATTATTTCACAAAATGACAGTGTTCAATGTCAAATCAGGAATCGAATTAAAAGTCTGACTATAGTACTAGCTGACCTGGCAAACTTCGTACCGCCTGAAATTAACTTAAGTTTTCTGACCTTTTAAACCTTCCCTGGATTTCCACGAATAATTCAAGACCAAAATTAGCCAAATCGGTAAAGGCATTGCTGAGTTATAACATTACGACGAAAAGTGGCATTGATATTATATACATACACTAGCGCCCCCCTCCCCCCCTCCCCGCTTCGCACGGGTCCAACTATCTCGCTATCAAAGCGTCACTATTTCTTAAACTCCCCTCCACTTTTTAAATATTTTCTTTGATAAGAACCTTCTCCTAAAAATAACAAATACAACAAAAAAGGATTAGCAAAATTGGTCCAGGCGTTGTTGAGTTATGCGCTTACCAACACATTTTGCGATCCATTTTTATATATAAAAGATATATATATATTACATCATCATCAGCCGGTAGACGTTCACTGCTGAACTCTGCCAACACGTAAAATAGTTCCAAATGACTTATGTCGAAACCTGAACTGATTATTATTTGATAATGATATTTGTACATAGTTTAGTTTACAATGTAAATAACAATTATTTGTTATTAATTTGAGCTCTATTGCTGTAGGGGGCCATTGCGAAGTCTCCAGCTAGATATCCCATTAGATACTTAGTATTGAAATGTAATTGGTACCTTTTTTGTCATGGGAAAATTATCAAATGACTTCTCCCGCCCAGGGTAAGGCGAGAGAGAGTGTCCGACTCTTACTGACTATAAACCTGTTCCTTCTCCTGCTTTGGGCCGAGCAGCGATGCCACATTTTTTTTTTTTTTACTAGCAATAAACTAGTGCTTGACTGCGATCCCACCTGATGGAATGCAGCAGCAGTGATGCAATCGTTGATGGAAAGGCGCACTAGTTTACACATTGCGCTTACCCCGCAACCCAATGTATTTGGTGACGTTCTGGATGGTTTTTTGAAGAAGAAAATCTCCCATCCAGATTGGAGCGGGAACTCAGGGAGTGTCATACTATTACTGACTAAAAATAAGTAGGTTTATAGTCAGTAACAGTCTGGCACGCCCCACCTAAGGCGACAGGGGGTCATTTGTTGATTTTACTGATCGCCATAGTATATTTCGAGCTTCAGTAGCCGCGCCAATCTCCATTTTCCTTTATTTGGCGACGCCCTGATTCCAAAAAGTGGTCAGGCCTTCGCCATGGCCTCCTATTGAGGTACAGGGCTTCGAATAAGAATTTTCAATTTGTATTTATGTAGGAACTTTTTATATAAGTGAAAAATATGAAATAAATGGGATTACCTATAAACAAATTGTTTTAAGGTTGATTTTTCAATAGTCAGATTAATGTTATTTTAGGAAAAAAATGTTGCTGTCACTGTCTTATACAAACATTCTGACGCGACAGCATCAGTTATTCCACAGGTAACTTTTATCTGACCGTTGAAAAATCAGCCCTAAGTTGTTTTTTTTAAGCAAAACCTGCGTCCTTGAAAGGAATGAAAATACTGCATGAAATTTATGTGTGATTTTTTATTATAATTTATTACTAAGTACAATTTTTATACAAATAAAATTGATTTTATTGGATTTATAATACATACTTATTTACATAAAAATATGTAAGTAATTTATAATATAATTAATATTTACAAACTTTAATGCCGAAGAGAAATACAATATTTCGTTGCAAAATAAAATTTTAAATCGATCGATTCTATTACAAATTGTCCCAACACTAACTACCGGCGGCATCTGAAAGGTTGATCAACGCAAAAAAATTGATAGAATTTTATGAACCAGTCCACATATAAAATTACTAGCTGGCCCGTGAGGTTTCATCCGCTGCTCTTAATAGATCGTACCGTGATGTTTTATTTTTTATAGCCTACTAGCTACTCTCGCGCGGTTCCACCCGCTGCTTGGCTCCATTTGATCGAAGTGTGATGTTTTATAGCGTATAGCACTCAGGAACATTGTAGCTATCTATCAGTGAAAGAATTTTGGCAATCCGACCAGCGTTTCCAAAGATTACCCCCTACATACAAACTTACTCCTCTTTATAATAATATTAGTAGGTATAGATAGCCTTCCTCGATAAGTGAACTATCCAAGACAAAAATAATTATTACTGAGACTAAAAACCCCTGGTTCCTTCTCCTGGTCCAGGCCGAGGCCGCAGTACCTCATTGCGCTTACCCAGCAACCCCGACTGAATACAGCCCAATAGAGCCCCCTGTGGTGGTCTATTGGCTCTTTGAGGCGCGCGCCGGGTTTAGAATCCTAGGATAGGTACATTACGTTTTTACGCGAGCGATGCGCGGGCGGAAGCTAATTAACACTGTAAAATTCTAATCGGTTTGATTACCTAACTCATACGAACGATTATTATCGTGATCGTTGTGGATTTCTATATATTGTTCTTCATAGTTGGTGGTATTATTATGTATGAACCGACAAGAATACTGTCCTGCTCCCTCCTACATATATTGTGCCGTGCCCGACGGGGTCCATAAACATATGTTTCTTTTTTTATACTTGTGGAGTGCAATAATTTGATTTGATACTTCCAGACTTAGAGCTTTCATTCTGACTTGGAGTTGACTGGACTATAATCGACAGAGGCGCCATCTAGGCAGCGAATCAATGTTACTTGTTTTTAGCCCTACACTATGATTTTCTCCTGTGTCGTGGGTGCGATTAGAAACATGCAAATTCACATACATGAGCCACCTAGACCAGAAACAACAATTTGTGGGTCAACCGCGTATTGCAGATATTGTCATTATTTAGGTTATATCAAATAATTCCTTGGACTTTCAGTTACTAGAAACCACCGATCTAGTTGTCTCACTCACACACTAACCAACCATATACAAAACACTTAAGTTAGAAAGAGACGAGAACAACTATTCATTCGTTTCATCCAGACTCAAACTCTGATGCTGCCTCTTCATATGATTCCTCAAATTAAAATTCTGCGTGAACGTAGCGTTGCAAATCAAACAATTAAACTTTTTATAACTAACGTGTGACTGTATATGGACATTTAGACCTCTTAGCCTTGGGTAGGACTTGCCGCAGAATTCACACCGAAAATTCCTCTCACCTGTATGAGTCGCCATATGTTCTTTCAAACGGGACGGTAGATAAAATCTTTTCTCACACAAATCACATTGATGTTTCAACACTTTTAAATGGTGTCTCCTGTTATGTTCTCTCAAAGATTTCCGACTGTCGTAAGCCCTGTCACAGAGGTCACAAGGGAACATCCTTTCTTCCCCGTGGCTATCAATCATATGCCGATATCTTAAGGAATAGGTGAAGAAAACTGAATCACACTTGTAACATTGGTACGCGGGTTCCTTCCTATGCATTTTAGCCTCATGAAGATACCTACTATGTTTCGATTTAAAAACTTTCCCGCAATCCTTACATGGGAAACACACGTCGACCTTTTTATGAGTTTTCTGATGTAACACCAACATCCGTTCTTCGAAATAATGAGCGCCGCAAATATCACAGATACAAGTACCGAAATGTTCCGCCATATGTTTTTTGAGCGCGTGAAAAAAACCAAAGCTACTGTCACATTCTATACACGTCAAATTATTGACAGTTAGGCGAAACTTCAAAAATTCGTTGGAAACGTCAAATAGTACTATGCCGTGAGCGCTAGTGATGTGCGTTTTGAATGAATCTAAATCATCGATTGTTATCGAACATAGTCTACAATCGATTCTGAATATATCGATTTGAATTTGTTTTTTTATTGAAACTATGTCTTTGAAAGTTTTTGGGTCGTGTGTTAGTGTGTGTTCTCTTAATCTATTTGGATCTGTGTGGCTTTGTCTACAGTATATACAGTAATAATCGCTAAATGACGAGTTGAACGGACAAACAAATGAATTTTCTACTATAGCTATTGTGTTAAATAGGATTTTTTGTTCGTTGTCTATGTTCCTTTTTGCCGGCGGTAATGGTTTTGGACCTGGAAATAAAAGAGATTAGTTTTAGTAGTGGCTTAACGTTTGAAGCTTCAATCTAGTGTGGGAGAACCATGCTTCGGCACATATGGGTCTGCTCGACCGGAGTGATGCCACGCCATCACAGTAAACCGTCGTGAAACAAGCACAGCGTTGTGTTTTGCCGTGTGAAGAGGCCCAATCCTTTCCCTCCCCAATATCTAAATCTCCAAATCCCTAATAGGTTGGCAACGCACTCTCGATCGCTTACCATCAGGTAACAAGTCTGCTCATTTTCCGTCTTATAACATAAAAACTAAGACTCTCACATTCCTTCACTCGTCCCAGGGCGAGAGAAGAAATTTGATGGTGTGTAACTGATGGTAAGCAATCGGCGCCGCCCATGGACACCCTCGACACCAAAAGAGTTAAGAGTATGTTGTCGGCCTTTTGGGGATAAGGATTGCGGATATAAGCATCGGAAAAGGATAGGGGAAGGGGCGGGATTGAGCCTCCGGTAACCTCACTCACAGGGCGAAACACAATGCTGTTGTATCACGCCTGTATTCTGTGAGGCCGTGGTATGACTCCGGTCGAGCCGACCCATTCGTGGCGAAGCTTGGCTCTCCCACACTTAAAAAAAAATAGTTACCTTGTTCCTGTACATCTATGTTCCTACTCCTCAGCTTGACCTGGCCACGTTCAGGATCCACCTTCTTCCGTTTACTAGTTTTCGTTTTTGTCTTTAATTTCTTCTTTTTTGGCGATTTTTTTACTTTGGTCGACGAATCGCTTGCGTTGTCTGCTTCTGAAATTAAAATAACGTATTATAAGAAAGACAACGGATGGCCCATGGACCCAAAAAGTACTCGACTCGAAGTGGCGACCAAGGACCGGGAAACGTAGCGAGGGTAGGCCTCCAGCTAGGTTGACCGACGACATTGTCAGAGTCGCGGGGAGTCAATGGATGCAGGTGGCAACTTGTCGTTCGATGTGGAGGACTAAGGGGGGCGTTTGTCCAGCAGTGGACGTTTTCCGGCTGATGATGATGATGATTATGAAAATACTACAATTTATTTTGGAAATGTAGCGGAGATCTCTGTTCGAGCTCAGATGACTGTTAAACCCGGCTCAAAGTCAAAGACAAAAATAATTTATGACAGCTAGCCCCAATCCTCTCCCTCCCCCATCCCTCACTTACAGCTCTCGAAAGAATACATAACACATATTTTAAGTTACTATGTCGAATTAGGTTAAGTTACCTGTAATGGCAAAGTAATATGTAGAAATAAATAAGAATAAAAAATAAAAATAAGTAATCAACCAGTATTTAAATGGGGGGGCGATATTTAAGTGGGTGGGCGGGCGGGCGTCGGGGATTGAGATATGATCTCCAGCCAATGTAAGCGCGCGTCTGCGGACGGCGGGTAAGAGTAGCTCGCCGCCCGACCAGAACCAGACCCGAGCGTACGGCGCGTAGCGTTCCGCGCGCGCCTCAAAGAGCCAATAGACCACAGACGGGGCCCCTATAGAGCTGATGTTCAACCGGGGTTTCGTGAATCACCGCGGCCTTGGCCAAGAGCAGGAGGAGGAACAGGGGGAGTTTTTAGTCAGTAAGAGTCTGACACTCTCTCTCGCCTTACCCTGGGCGGGAAAAATCATTTGATGATTTTCCCATGACAAAAAAAAGGCCAAAATTTTCAAAAACCCATCAGACTTACCAATATCCTCATCAGGTTGATATAAGTCATCCATATCGCCATCCAGATCCTGGATCTGGTTTCCAACATCCACATTGACATCAGGGACCTGGTTTCCATCATCGTTGACAAGATTCTGGTTATCGACTGGATTAGGTTCTTCAGGAGGGCAACCGTCTTCTGGTTCCACTTTCACTTCCAACTCACTCTTGAAGATCTGGTTATTAGTGCAGCAGTCTTCTTCTGAAATAGAGAAGTATTAAATTAAATTCTTTATTTCAGACTATTAACTAATAATACAGAATACTTACTAATATTCAAAAGATTTTTTTAATAAAAGCTCTACAAGTTTCAAGTTCGGGCACGCTACCATAGCAGCGGTAAGACCCCTCTTTGAGGAGTGGCTTGAGAGACGCCACGGCGTCCTCACCTTCCGTCTGACGCAGGTGCTTACCGGGCACGGCAGCTTCGGTAGGTTCCTGTTTCGGATCCAGCGGGAGGAAACGCCCGAGTGTCGTCATTGTGAGGACCACCTAGAGGATACGGTGGAGCATACGGTAGCGGTATGCCCTGCCTGGGCTGAGCACCGCCGTATCCTCAGGGAAGTGATCGGCGGCGGCGACCTCTCGCGCCCGGCCTTAGTCGAGGCCATGGTGCGGAGTGAGAGGAACTGGGACGCCGTCTCCTCCTTTTGTGAAGCAGTCATGCTCGCAAAGAGAGAGGCGGCCCGCGTGATGGAGCAATCCTCCTCCTCACGCCCCAGCAGCCGCAACTGGCGACACTACGGGCGTCGGGGATCGAGGGACGATCTCCGGCCACCGTAAGCACGGGCCTGCGGTCGTCGAGTAAGGGCAGCTCGCCGCCCGACCAGAACCAGGCCCGAGCGTACGGCGCGTAGCGTTCCGCGCGCGCCTCAAAGAGCCAATAGACCACCACAGACGGGGCCCTAAAGGGCTGATGTTCAGCCGGGGTTGCGGGGTAAGCGCAATGAGGTACCGCGACCTCGGCACAGAGCAGGAGAAGGAACAGGGGGGTTTTTAGTCAGTAAGAGTCTGACACTCCCTCCTGCCCGGCCCTGGGCAGGAGAAGTCATTTGATGATTTTCCCCTCACAAAAAAAAAAAAAGTTTCAAGTTGCTGCGGTACTCTTCTTTTTATAGTATAGGCGGCAAATGAGCAGGCTTATCACCTGACGGTTATCCAAAATTAAAGCAGTCGCTGGCTCCCACTGGAGGCAAATAGCACAGGACAGAGAACTGGCAGAACAGCCTTTACCGAACCTGGGGACCTTAGCAATTACTTAGAATTAATTTAATATTTTAAGAGGTTTATCTTCAACTTATATTTTTGTAGATGTGTCAAATAAAGACTTTTTTATTTTTATTTTTTTTATTTTTGACACCTGCAACACCAAAAGCGTCAAAGGTGCGTTGCCGGCCTTTTTAAAAGGAGTATGCTCATTTATCGCTTTAAGTTTAAGTTTAAAGGTCGTATCGGTTCTTATGCACGATCAAGTCGTTATTAAAAGTCAGGTAGTATGAATGACTGTTCAAAAAATTATCATTACTGACTTCCACCCGCGTGATATGTTGATAAAAGTATCCTATGTCCTATTCCGGCGTGTATTCTATGCCTGAGCCAAATTTCATTCAGATCCGTCCAGCCGTTTTGGCGTAATTGAGTATCAATCATGCAAACATCGTAACTTTCGCATTTAAAATATTAGTCATCATCAGCCTGCAAGGGCCCACTATTGAGCAAAGGCCGCTTCTTCTTGAGAAGGTTAGAGCAATAATCACCACGCTTGCTCAAAGCGGGTTGGCGATTTCAAACTTATAAGTCCAGGTTTCCTCGTGATGTTTACCTTCACCGAATGTCAGTGATATCTAAATAATCATAGAAAGTACATATAACTCGGAAAAAGTCACATTGGTACTTGCTAGGTTTCGAACCCTTATGTATGAGATGTGGTTTCCTTAACCTCCGGGCCACCACGACATTTAATTGTTTTTTATAATATTTGTTAAAAGTAAGATTTACCATCATGAACTTTGATATTAGCATTGAGCAGTATTTCCTCGCGTTGCAGGACTTGTTGACGGAAGGCGCGCGCGTCCCTCAGTCTGACGACGCACGTCGCGCAGATCAGACGCTCTGACTCCTCGCCCTCCAAGTGTGATAACTGGAAATTTATTGAAAGTTTTTTATGTTGGGAAGAAAATGAAATAAATTTATTGAAAATACATAGATCAAAGCTCTCTATACAACTAGCGCAATACGGTAGTTTTCAACGAATCAAATTCAATACTTTTATCCAAACGTCAAAAACGGTACTTTTCTATGAAATTTGTATGAAAAACTTAGTTATGACGTTATAGTTTTTTTTGCGTCAAATAGTTTACTTATTTCTTACCAGTTATCTAAAATTCAGTGTATCGATCGGTCGATGAATAAAAGTATAGTTATTTTTCAATATTTTATTGTTAAACATCGAATAAATTCATTTCTGACCTAGGAAACTAACCAATCGTTTTAGTTATAATAAGTTTTATCCCAATTACATTTTTATGAAAGAGTTAACTTAATCTAGATTATTATATTTACAATCTATACTAATATTATAATATTAGTATAGATTGTAAATATAATATAATATATATATATATAAATATAATAAATATATATTGAGAGGTGAAATTTGTAAGTTTGTATAGTGGGTAATCTTTGTAACCGCTGGTCGGATTTCCAAACTTCTTTCACTGATAATATTCCTGAGTGCTATAGGCTATAAAACATTACACTACGATCAAATGGAGCCGAGCAGCAAGTGAAACCGCGGGAGAGTAGCTACATAGAGCTAGAATGTTTTTCTGTTACCCTCCTCAGGGTATTCCAGACTATTACTGAATAACAATGTTCCAGGCTAAAGCCATAGTACCTTATTGCGCTTGGCCTGAAACCCTGGCTGGACATTGGCCCTGTTGGACCTCTTTAGTGGTCTATTGGCATTGATAATATTATAAATTCGAAAGTACCTCTGTCTGTCTGTCTTTTCATGAGACCTAAACTACTGCACCGATTTCTTTGAAGTTTGATACAGACATAGTTTGGAACTCGAGAAAGGTCATAGGATAGTTTTTATACCAAAAATCTTTTCAAAATAGTAAACAGTTGGGACAACTCATGAGGAAACTGGCCTATGGTATTTGCCTGTACTAGGCAAATACCCGTATCAGAGGCTTTACACAATGTTTTGTTTTGTGAGAGCTTTTACATAATGTTTTGTTGAAAGTTTGGTGCTATTTGTGTACCTTTTTGGGTAATAAAGATTATTTTTATAAGATGAAGATATTATATAATTGTATTACAGTGTGCAATCACAAAAAAAAAACAGAAGAAAGCTTAAAAATGGGTTTTATTAAAAATAACAACGAATAAAGTTTTTTCTGTGAATGATCTGATAACACTATTCATTTTAAGTCACTGCTTTCCTCATGAAAAAGAGTCCCAATTTCACTGATTCACATCTAATACCAAACTTACTTGCTTTAGATTGAGAAGCAAGTCATTATATTTTAATAATTCAGCAAGTCTCACAATAATTACTATATAATATTGATTTATAGATTAGAAAACGAGCATACAGATCGCACGATGGTAAGCAAATTAGCGCCGCCTATTGACACTCACAACATTGAGGTATTACAAGTGCATTATCAGTACTTTAAGTAGACTTATAAGGTTTTCTTCAAGAAACAAAAGCTGACGATTTTTTTTTTGTGCATGTGGTAAGTGTGGTTGAGCCATGCTTCGGCACGAATTGGTCGGCTCGACCGGAGTGATTCCACGGCCGCACAGAAAACCGCCGTGAAACAACCACAGTTTTGTGTTTTGCCGTGTGAGTGAGGGGCAACTCACTCGTAACTCCTCTGTTGCTGTCATGGGTTTCCATGGGCTGATTGGTTACCATCAGGTAATCCGACTTATAAAAAACATATTTAGTTCAAATTTCACTACGTTTTACGACGAATGAAACAGCAATAAATTACAGTGAACGGTACATAATATTTCTATCTGTACTTCGGCTTACCCTCCCGGAAAGAAAGAAGCTTAATAGTATGTGTACTTACAAGTAAACCGAAGCAATCAACAAACATTTCGGAATAAACTTCTCTAGTCCCGAGCCAATCGTATTCTACATTAAGTAGACGGCATTTCTTTGTAGCACCACAGCATCTACATAAACCAGGATCCACTATAGGACCTTTACGTGTATTTGTAGACATGTTTAGATTAAATATAACACATTCCCCATTTACGAGAAGTCAAATAAATAAATAATATTATGATATTATTTGACATAAACATAGAAAACACAAATCTATCGACTTTCGCTTTTGACAGCTATTTTAGTGATGTGCCATTCATTTTTACAGATTGCGGATTCAGTTAGGAAAGTTCGGTTTTGTAAAGTCCTTACTACCTGATACTAGATGGCGCAGCCAGCAGTGTAGTAGTAAAAATCAATAAGTGTGTAAGAAAACAAAAAGAAAGATTTAACAAAATTAAGAAAGGACAAAGACATATTATAAAATACTTTTTTTTTATGTAATTGGTCAGCAAACGAGCATACGGATTACCTGATGGTAAGCAATCAGCGCCGCCCATGGACACTCGCAACGGACGAGTTACGATTGCGTTGCCGACCTTTTAGGGATCAGGGATTTGGAGATTTAGGGATTGGGGGCGGGGATGGATTGGGCCTCCGGTAACCTCACTCACACGGCGAAACACAACGCTGTGGTTGTTTCACGTCGGTCTTCTGTGAGGCCGTGGTATCACTCCGGTCGAGCCGACCCATTCGTGCCGAAGCATGGCTCTCCCACACTTAAATACTGAAATACTTAAGTAATTTAAAAGAATCGAAATGGTCACAGAGACTTTTTGAACGGTTAGCTACCAGAACACACTAGTAGTATTTACATTCAAGGCTTTGTGAAGAACATAATATTACCAAATAATTTAGAACTGATATAATTGAGTTTACTTTGTACTATGAAGCTTGACTATTACAAGTTCAACTACCATTAATAGAAAATGAGTAAATGTGATGGAAACATAATGAAACAAAAGTTTGTTGAGCGACTATGGCAGATATGTATTGTATGAGATGTCATGTTTAAAGTAAATCAGTTTATGTATGTAAAAGATAAAGTCCAATAAACAGGATTGTATCTTAAAAAAAGGTTAATAAAACGCCATTTCGTTTATTAATCATTTTATAATATTGTAGATTTAATTGTTACACAAGATCCAATCATGACAAATTTTGAATTTTCGAATATTACGCTATTCAGAGAGCTCTCGTCTAACTCTTATGACACAGATAAAACACGTAGGTATTAATTTGGGTAACAGATTAAGATAAAATTTTGATAAAATTTCCAAAATATTCCAATAAAATTAGAACTACGTTCCATTAGGTATATGCGCTAAACATTTAATGATTTTAACGTCGTATACGCTAAAGTTCACTATAATTAATATATTTTAAAATTGTTATCACGACAAATAGATCAATAAAATCCACTACTTTTTTATAAGTTGATAACATTGATTGATATAGATCTAAGTAAGTAATTCTAAAACATCAATATTACACATAAAAAGAAAGCCCATATATTTGGGGCAATACGAGTCTTCGTCAAGTCAGTCGTGAATAAAATTTTATAAAATTAACATTATTCAATACTCCATGTTACAAAATTATAGTAAAAATATACGCAAGAAATAGAAAAGCTTACATTTCGATAATACTGATAAGCAATAGTTTTTTAAATACAATAATAAAGGGTCTTAAACCAAAATATAGATTTTATAGTCATCATACTTCAATTGTATGACAACATTCAAACATTCCTCAGATACCAAAGTGATAGATATAAATTTCACTCTCATCAATAATAGCAATAGATGCATTTTGCATTTGACATTAGACAAATTTCGCTTTTTAAAACCTTACACTGTGTTACACACCATCACAATATCAGCCTACAAAAGTAGGAATTCACTTAACCATCTCAACATCTCAGCCTTTTATCAATCTTAATATGTGACAATACCCTGTGACTTTAAACACATCACTTTCAAACCCGAAAAATTCCATTTTCATCAAAAATATATCAGTCGATATATTATAGTCGAGGATAAAATTATAATATTACCGATTCATTTGCAGATTCGTGTTAAGAGAGTTTAAAGTCTAGGTAATCTAGACAAAAATACATTTTTTGTTGTTGTTATACTTGTTAGGACAAGTAAGTATTTTAACCTCTACAATAATGAGCAGGAAATATATGAAGATTAGTACAAATAATAATAATAATTCACGACTCCTGAGGATGAATTTAGTCAACATCATGGTCTTGCTCATCATTTGGATTTTGTGGCATCATTGGGCATTCTTTTCCAATAACTGGTACTGCAATGTTAGGATTAATCATCGGGGGAAGAAGATCCTGCTGCAGAGTCAGTTCCATCGGTAACGGTTCTGGCTCGTTAGATTTAGAAGGAGGTGGATTCATCAATGCGCTTCGTTTTGGTGAATCTGCTTGATCATTTGGTGCATTTTGCTCTATCTCAAACGGTTGGTTGAGATCAGCTGGCTCTTCAGTAGGCGCTTGCAGAACCAGTTCCATTGGTAGATCTTGGTGAATATCCTGGTTTCCCAAAGCCTTCTGCCTGGGCTGGACGAGTGTCAGTAACGCGGCAGACTGCATGGCGGAAGCAACGTCAGCCGATACCAACATTTTCATTGGCATGGTCATGGTCATTGGCACTGCCATAAACATTGGCACGCCCGTGTTCGTCGATGCCACCATTTTCATGGGGACTGCCATTTTCATTGATGCAGCCCCTACTGCAGGTGGGAGGACATTGGGCGCAGCCACCGGTACGGCGACACCCTCTGGCGCCGACATCTTCAAGGGTATCGACATTACCATTGACTCAGACATATTCAACTTGGAAAGTCTTTTCATCTGTTTAACAATTTTGGTCTGCGTACTTTCCAACTTTATCGGTCCAACTGGATCTGGGTTGTGTTCTGGAACCATCAATTGAATCCGTTGTACGCCCGGCACTCCTGGTACCGGCGCAGCTTGGTCTCCAGAGGCGGAACGTTTGGCCGGTGCAGACTCTTGTGCAACAACAGCAATCTGGACGGGAACAGTGCGCTTCCTCGGTGCAGCACGTGGCACCTGTGCTGGTGGAGGCATTTGTGCAGAATCATCAGTCGGTGCAGTTGCTACTGCTTGCATAGGGTGTTCCTCTGGCACCAGTGGTTGAGGAGCTACAAGCTGTTCCTCTACAGCCTCTGCGGGCTCAGCGACTTCTTCATTTGGTGGGGTCTGTACCTCCTCCTCAAAGCCTTCCTCTGACGAGGACGCAACGGACTCTTCACTATCGACTTCGGCGTCCTCTGGCTCAGACGGTTCGAACTGTTGAGCTATCTCATCGCCATCTCCTTCGTTGTCAGAGGATTCAGGAGTCAAAGGCTCGTACACCTGATACGTCAAAAACGTTCTAATAAGAAGTTGCCGTCTCTCTCCTTCGGATATCTTGTTGTTGCGGATGACTTCACTTAATCCACTAAAGTTTGCCCAAGCGACTGACTTCACAGTAAATGGGTGTGGTTCTATGTTTCTGTCGAACATCCTCCAAGTTGGGATCCCAATATGTGGGATCACACGTACAGACGGATACATGTATGAGTCGATTTTGTAATTAAACAAAGATATTGTGGTTTCATACATGTTTTTGTATAGCACAAAATCGAGTTCGTAAAGTACATCTGGCCAGCTAACGCGATAGTGACTCCAGATCACATAGTGACATTTTTCTATTATTTTCCAATAACGAAGTAGTGAGGCCTGGCAACCTTCCATCTCAGTGAGAGTGTGGATACGATCAATATTGATTGCAGCGATTTTTTGTTTCAACATATGAAGACGGTCAAGCTGGTGCGAGATGAGCATTTTTCTCATTTTTCTTTCTTGGGTTTCGGGTTCTTCCTCAAACGGTTCATCGCCGTGATTCCTTATGAATTCTCGCACGATGCCCACTACATTAATGTAATATTTTTTACATTTTCCGAAGTAATTTTTAGTGAAATACTTATTGTCTTTTAGTTGCGCTTCCGACAGGAGCAAATTATTGTCATGGAAGAGTTTCCACAACATTTTTAGAGCTTTGACAGTGTCATGCGTGTAATCTTCTCTTACAAGGGGCATATCTGCATGTAGATTTATCATATATCTATTGGTTCTTTGAAAAGTTTGTCCAATTAGTCGTTGGGTGGCTATAAGTTCTTCCATAGTCAATTCGAGCAAGCCTCTCATTTTGATATTTATGATTTGGTTTCTTTTGTCGCAAAATAATATTATAATGGGTAAACAGAATCAATAATTGTAACGGGAACTAAAACACCCCACCTTGTATCTTCCTTCCAAACTGTAGTAACAATCACTATTTGGCTTAAGCACTTATCATGTCACTGTGTACTTCGCTAATTTATAGAACAAGTTACTAGGTAATAGTGTATCAACATTTTGTAAATCACACTTATGCAAATATTTAAGAGCAATAAAGTTCTCAATTCACGCAGGACACCATTTGATCGTCTATCATTAGAAATGAAGAATCGATAATATATGCGCGAGTGCGCGCGCAAGTCGCGCATTCATTCCGTTCTTTTCATCGAACAACACTAGCGCACCGCCGCGCCGCGCCGTCAAACAGTCAAAGCGATCGATGGCGTCGCTTTGCGTTTGTTTCGTAAAAATAAATAGTTGTAATGCGTGTTTGCCTACACAAGTTAGTTAGTTTTTAGTAATTATTATGAGCAACCTATTTCCTGTGAAAATAAGTTAGTAAAACTTAAATATGGATCCAAAAACTACGGATTGGAGAGCCGGTCCGAATGTTTGTCGTTGTTGTTTGGCGGAAGGGTGCTATAAAGATATTTCTACGGAATATTTTTGGATGGGAAAGCGTGAAGTATACGCTGAAATGCTTTCCGAGACCCTTAATCTAAGCGTAAGTAACTAATTTAACGATTATCGTTCCACAATCGCAAAGACGCCACGGCATCCATTTTCTTGGCGAGGAATACCTTTTTTTATAACCCGACCGGTTTGTGGTGTTTAGTCTTTGTTTTGATAGACTCTTTGCTTGAAACGTATTTCCTTTGGTCGGGTAATAATATTAATCGGGCTAAGAAAGTGGTATTTTCTTGATATTGAAAAAATCTGGAACTCTGTTCAATAAAACTTATCAGAATCTGAGCCAATATTTACAGTTTTCTTGATACACTGTGATATTGTTTACATCCAAACTACACAGGACACACATTTTTTAATTGATCTCACTTGGGCCATGATTATCCAACCATCTAAAGCTGTTTAGGAGGTTGATGCAGCCTTGAGCAGTAGCTCTTAGGATACTCACACTGATTTCTAATGACAAAGACAATTGGGTAGTTTCCTAGGTGAAAAATAAATTAATTAGACATCTCTATACAATGAAATAGTAAAAAAAACTAAACTATTATTCATTGATCCATCAATACACTAAATTTTCAATACTTTTCAGCTAATTTTTAAGAAATAAGTTAGCTTATTGACCCAATAATAGGTAATATGACATCATAACTTTAAGTTTCATACAAATTTCATAGAAAAGTATTTTTCTGACATTTGAATTGGAAACTACCATATTGTAAATGATAGACACATGAGAAATAATATGTGAAAACAGTTTCTACTGAAAAGTTTCATAAAAAAATATAGATTAATCTTTAAAACTTTTAACGACTCCAATTAAAAATAAAAACATCTTCTTAATTATAGTTGTTATGAATGAGTCCCATGTTGCAGGAAATTACTGTTTGTCTGTCACTTTGTCACAGTATTTGGTTTGATTGATAAATTTGAAAACAATCCCAAGTCCTTTGAGATATTTTTATGCAATAATGTATCACAACAAAATTGAAGAATGTATGGGGTGTTTTCATATCAGTAAGAGTCTGACACTCCTTCTAGCCACAAAGTCAAAGTCAAAATCATTTATTCCAACTAAACCATAAATAGGTACTTTTGAAACATCAAAATAGAATAGCAGTCTGTCAGTCTGTTCTTCAGTGAAGCTAGGTGCTCATTCCAAATTGTAGATTCGAATGGAGAAGAATGAGCAAGAAACTCCATTCGTCTCTCACAATCACGGATAAGCTATTTGATGCCTTCCTCTCCAAAACCTGTTTTCTGTGAGGCCGTAGTATCACTCTGATCGAGCCGGTCCATTTGTACCAAAGCATGACTCTCTCACAATTTATTAATTACAATATCTCTTTAACAGATTGCCTACTCAAATACTGGAGGCCCGAATAGTAATAGCCGTCTTATATGTGAACTCTGCATATCAAGGTTACGGGATGCCTCTGACTTCAAGCGGCAGGTTCAAGAGTGTGAGAGGACATTCCTGCAACATTTGAATCCATGCAGCTCTTCGATGGTCGGCGATGTTGAAGGTACGATTTATAGAAATGGCTACTTAAACCTGCACGTCGATTCTATAAAATTTGTTTGATTTTGAATCGTGTTCGAGTGCCAAGTGAGCGTCGAAGTGACGGGTAAATTAAGCGGTCAATTTAGTTCAACTCGCAAGTGTAGCGCTAGTGTACTACTACTCACAGCGGATTCAGATTCGAAGTTTAGAATAAAGTCTTACAGAATCACACTGCTGTTGTGACATTTTTTTAAATCATGCCACACATTTTGCCTTTTTCTTTTTCTCGTAAGTTTAAGTTTATAAAGTGGCTTCATACTAGGATTTCCTCGTGTGTCGTGGGTTAATTTACAAACACATGACACCTAGACCCGGAACAACAATTAGTGTATCTCACAAATAGTTGTTTCGTACGAGAACTTAATCCTTGAGAATAATACACACGACCAAAATAGAATTACTTTAATTGGTTCAGCTTTTCGAGATTTGCACTTCTTAATAACACATTCATCTGAGATAAGATTAAGCACTGACCTGGAGCAGGAGAAGGAACGGGGTGGTTTTTAGTCAGTAAGAGTCTGACACTCCCTCGCGCCTTACCTAGGGAAGGAGAAGTCAAAAGATTAATTTTCCATCTCAAAATAACAAATTTTTTGTACTATACTAGCAGCCGCTTTCTTCTCACGGATCTCCCAACTATCTCGCTAACGACGAAAGGGTCCCTATTTCCAAAGTACCTCCCCTCTACTTTTCTTTCAGAAAAACCTTCTCCTGGCTATTATAACAAGCAACATAAAAAGAATTGGTAAAATTGGTCCAGGCGTTGTTGAGTTTGCGCTCACCAACAGATTTTGCGATTCATTTTTAAATTATACTAGCTAATTATGCTAACTTTTGTCCGCGTGGAATAGTGAAGTCCTTCAGATTTCTTGTGTAAAAACTATCCTATGTCCTATCTCGAGTTCCAAACTATGCCAAATTTCACAGAAATCGGTTCAGTAGTTTAGGCGTAAAGAAAAGACAGACAAACAGAGTTAGTTTCGAATTTATAATATTAGTTTGGATAGTTAGATTTATTACATTTTTCTTTGCTCCAGTGACTGTGGAACCGACGGAAACGGAATCTGACGTGAAATTGGAACGCGTGAAACAGGAGAAGCAGATAAGCGATGATGATGATGACTTCGACGAGCGATGCGGGTTCGACGAAGATGATGATGATGATGATCGTAAGTTGATTACTCTTTCATTATAATTTAAATATTTTTGGTATACAGATGGGCTATGTAGTGCCACTAATCCTTCCTGTCCCACAATCCGAAAATGAAATGAATCCCCAAAATCCTAATCCCCAAAAGGTCGGCAACGCACTCGTAACTCCTGGCGTTGTTGCGCGTGTCATGGGTGACGCTGCGACTTTGGGCCTTACATACCTAAGTGTAAATGAAATATGAAACTGCATTGTGCTCTATTGTACACTCGAGTTTGTATATAAGTTTTTATTAACACAACTTTCTTTTTCAATTTAGTAAATGTATTTTTTTTTACCTATTTTTCGGTTTAATGAGACCGATATGTCTTTCAAGTTCAAAATACTCTTAACAAATTTATTGAAAAAAGAAACTGTAGATATTAAGTGTGGGAGAGCCATGCTTCAGCACGAATTGTTCTTCTCGACCGGAGTGATATCATGGCCTCATAGAACACTGACGTGAAACAACCTCAGCGATTTGTTTTGTCGTGTAAATGAGGTTACCGGAGGCCCAATCCTTCTTTTTAGTTTAGGATAAGCGTGCGCCTGTACGTTCTCTAGTAAAAAAAAATTATTTGCCATAACAAGTCGAAACCTAAACTGTACCATCTTAAATTCCAGTTGACGATCAACCCCTAACAAGATTGGCAAGCAGGATACCTAAAAAGGAATCGGTAGACCTCTTAGACCTACTCGATAATACAAAAGCGACTGAAAAACGGAAATCGTCAACGAAAACAAAGGCAGTGCCCGCGAAAAAGGCTAAAAGTATGAAGAAAGATGTCAAAGCTACATCTAGTAAGCAACCAGCGAAGACTGAGAAGAAGAAAAAAGGTAGGCATCGAATTTTTATTTATTTAATTGTTGGCTAGATGAGTTGCTGATGACGATGGTAGTCAATTTTTCCTAAGCAGAAATTTTGGGTGTAAGACCAATAATGTACCGCGGTCCTTTCCCGTAGCAGGCGAAGGGACGGGGTGGTTTTTAGTCAGTAAAAGTCAGACACTGTCTCTCTCCGAATCTAGGGCGAGAGTAAAAAGATATAACCTTCCCATAAAAAGTTTTTAGTGCAACTATCGTCTTAACCTACTGTAGAACATTATATTTACGCGGGTATTAACGCGGAAAATTATAATTTGAATACCTTGGTAGGCTTGACGTTTCGACCCGGTTGCACAGGTCGTGGTCGTGGTCGTGGTTAACCTACTGTGCCTGTGGTTCTCAAAGTTTCAAGTATCAAATAAGTAATGTATTTACTATTCAAAAACAAACTTAATTTGCGTCGATCGTTGGATCGATGTTATTTCTAGCCCAAGATGCTAATGAATGTGTGGGTCCCTGATTGTGGCTTAAAAAGAATTGAGATTCTCGTCCAACGATTACGTTGTACATAACTCGTTTGTAGTTTTAAGTTTATCTTGATTAAATGAACACAGGTGTGTTTTCTGGCAATGCATGTCAAGTAAACACGTAGAAACTGAACGATTATGGATTATATAAAAATTGCTTACCTTGCCTTCGAGATTGACGATACTTATATAGAATGACAAGATTTTTCTGTGATTTTTTCTACTTTGTAAATTATATTATCATTAGCAACTCCGCTCACCAACTTACAAATTGATAGGATTCATACTGGATTTAGAAATAATTATTTTATCCTGATAGAGGTACAATGGCATTTCTTTTCTTTACACCCATTGAAGAGAGTCGTAGTTAATAGATATGTGATGATAAAATGAATAAGTGCCCACTGCTGAGCAAAGGCTTCTTCTCACTTGGAGAAGGTTTGAGCATTAATCACCACGCTTGCTCAAGGTGGATTGGCGATTTCAAACTTATAATAAGAAATTATAAAGACCAGATTTCGTCGTGATGTTTTCCTTCATCATATATTAGTGGTGTCTAAATAATCATAGAAAGTACATAAAACTCGGTAAAACTCACATTGGCACATGTCAGGTTTCGGAATGCCTTTACCTCCAGGACGTCACATAAAAAGAAACATCACTGAAGTAATCGAAAAAAAAGTTTCAGTATGAATCGTGTCAATTTAACTTATCTGATATTTGCATGGTTTATATTTAAGGTAACATATGGATATGTCTCCGAAATAAGTTCGTTTTGCAATGATATATAGATGATAAATTAATTAATATGGAGTATATTTTGGTTGTTTTATGTTTTTTATGCTAATATATATATTGAATTAAATTTGAGTGTCGAAAATTATAGGAGCAGAGTAATGGTTCTTTTTTACACTTCAATAATATTACAAAATAGATAGTCCACGACTTCATATTTCCAGAATATCCCTTATTTGTTACTCTTTTGTCAATGTAAATTGGATATATTTTACACACAACACTTAATTTCAGTGTTCCTCAAACTTTATTGTCAATATTAATATTTATAACAACGCCATCTATTATTTTGTACTCGTACCACCAAGACGCCATATTGGTTAAACTGTCATCTATTTTGCAAAATGGACGTTACAGAGCGTCTTAGCGTTTAAAATGTTTAGTTTATAAGAATTGCCTTGTGTGTTTCGTTTTCGTGTTTCCTTACAGCAGTTTAGGTGCAGCTCAAGATGTGTTTTTGATAATAAAGACATCGACTTAATAATTATTATTGATATGCAGTTTCATTACATTCAATTTGTTTACGCTTTCGTTTTAAGACTAGGTTTAAAAGGAAAAAATGGTATAGCCATATACATAATTTGGATTGTGAAAAACGATATTAATTTATACATTTTAATAAACACTATGAGGTTGTGTTCACACAGAAATGGTATTTTTTTATATTAAAAAAATGCTGCACTGTAACTTTTCCATGTCGTCCAATAACAATCTATAAATCAAATTCAATTTTGAAATTAGAGTAGTTTTTCTCGTTCAAAGAAAACCACTGCCATTAAACTAAGAGATAATACAAGTACGTCTCATGGGTTCGAGTCCCGATGGTGAATGCAGAAAGATTATCTGTTACTTCTCAAACTTGTGACTATAGAGCTAATTAAACATTGCCTTTCGAGCCTTTCGATTAAATTTCAAATAGCTCGTTTCTCGGCTCCCAAAGGTCGCAGCGTGATGTTTTATAGCCTATCTATAGCCTTCCTTGATAAATGGATTAACGCATCAACGATTCAACGATATCTGCACGCGTGCACATACGCGTCGGGGACACTGGATGCGTTAATCTATACTAATATTATAAAGAGGTAAAATTTGTAAGTTTGTATGTTTGTAAGTTTGTATGTAGGGGGTAATGTTTGGAACCGCGGGTCGGATTGCCAAAATTCTTTCACTGGTAGATAGCTACAATGTTCCTGAGTTCTATAGGCTATAAAACACCACGCTACGATCAAATGGGGCCGCGGGTGAAACCGCGCGCGAGTAAATACTAGAGTAATAAAGTATTTGTTCTATTCGTACCAGTAGTTTCGGAGAGTTTAGTGTTTAAATAAACAAACTCACTATTCAGCGTTATGGTGTTAGGTAGAAATTCCAGTTAAGTTTTCATTATACTAGTGACAGGACATTGAAATGTAGCGAAGCAGCGCATCCCATCGAGCTTCGAAGTAAAACAATTCTCGCTTTGGGTTCGAATCCCATAAGTTTAAACCGAATTCTACTCGACGCTTCGTGTATGCAGGTAAGTCTGTTTGCACTTTTATTATGAACGTTGAAATGTACAATTCATTAGTTTCTCAGGATAAAAAATAGCCCAACCTTATTCTAGACGTATAATCTATCTCTGTGCCATATTTCATTCAGATCCGTTTGGTAGTTTTCAAGTGAAAGAGTAATAAGCATACTTCCAGACTCACAATTTTTTGTATTTATATAGTTCACTAGCGACCCGACTAGGCTTTATATGGTGACACTGCATTTCTTCGCAATTTTATGGATGTTATACCTATTAACCTTTTTCTTCAATCACTCGTGTCTACCTTAAAAAAACCGCATGAAAATCCATTGCGTAGTTACAAGGATTTTTAAGCGTATATAGGGATATAGGGATTTTGTGATGTTGATTTTACACTTCTCCAATATTATTTTTAATTTTCTCTACGTACAAACTTTTTCTGGTTTTTCACGAATAATTTAAGATCAGAATTAGCCAAATCGGTTATGGCATTGTTGAGTTATAACATTACAACGAAAAGTGGCACTTTTTTTTATTTATATGGATTTGGCAAAATCACTTAATATGTATGTTTTTGTCATTTCAAAGTTCATACATAAGGTTTGATTTAGTTTATAATATTGTTTAAGTAAGCTCTGGTTGATTATTGTGTATTTAAAATTGTTAATTTTAATGTGTTAATTAAAACATTTGAGACATATCCATATGTAGGCGTTTTTTCGCCTTGAAATTTTGGATTTGAGTGAATGAGTATTTTTAACGGTAAAATTTATAGATTTTAATTTCATTAAGTTAATTTACTTGTGTGATATTTATTTGCTACTGTTTCATATTACTATCAAATTTTAAAAGTGGTAATATGAAATGATTTTCAGTATAACCAAAATATTCATTCATTCAATTACTAAATGTAATATTATCAATACTCAAAGGACAATAGTAATTTTCAATGTTTTGTTTTTAATAATAAATTTGTAAATTTTCACATGTTGATAAATTACTATTGGATTTTGATGCCGTGTTTGCACTTATCACGTAAACTGATTTTACCTTGTGTAAAATGATTTCTATATGAACTTATGACTTTTGAGATTTTTTTACTTTCAAAAACCTTCTTTTATGACTGCAGGGGTAAATTTACCTCTAACAATTTCCTTCTAAAATTTCTTTAATTTTTTTTAAATTTTTAAGAGGTTTCCAAAGTTTAGGTAATTTTTTTTTGTACTTAGATTGTTATTATGACTACGTGCTACGATCTGACATAGCAATCAAATACTCCTGTTCACTTGTGTGTGGTAGCGAGTTGTGGCCTTTACTCGATTTATCAATAAATTAGCCAAATCTTACATAACACATTTACAACGTATTTCTCTTTGTGGCCGACTCGAACGGATTAATACTTACACTCAATCCTGAAATTTGGTACTTATTACTAGTAATCCCGAATTCTAGTTTGCCGATCTGTGCTTTAAAAAGTGTCCTCATTCCATCCATCATTATATCAGCATTTAGAGGTCACTCATGCATATAAGCATTTTCCACAGCACAGCACAACACGAATTTCTGCCTTCCGCATACTACTTACCCCTTCCTTACTTCTTCAGATCATCATACCATCGAATTATATTTTTAACTCGGATGTATCAGTTGTAAATTAATTATCTATGAATAGTTTGGGAACCTCTGGCTTTATACTCTGATATCTTTAAACTACATTTCTTGACCGATCTTTCTGTCTGACAAATATTTCAAAAACATAACTTGTCTTGAACATGCGTCAAAGAAAATTAATTTTAACCTTTTAAGATTTTACATAGTTAAGCAGACAGTTCTACCTGTATTTTTCAAACTTGAACGTTGCGTTGTTCGTCGTTTTTGTATATGTGAACTTTATTAGTTGAAACTGTAACCAAGGATGTCTTTTAGGAGACAAAACGTCTACAATCTGTTTGATTATAGCATTCTGCAGTACCAATGTTTGGTCTGTAACAATAATATCGCTTCAGTATAATTTTATACATGTTTGGGTTACCAGAAAACATGCGTGCCAAGAGTTTTTGTATATAATTCGAGCGGAAAGGATCCTCAAGTATACAATAATAAATAGAAGAAATATAAAACCTGGTCTACAACAAGAAACCTTTTTCTTTTTTAGCTGAAAGTTACGATGCGACGCGCTCTAACGCCGAGACAATAATCAGTAGCACGACAGCTTATCCCTTCAGAGTCAACGACAAATCGATACTCTGCGTCTACTGCCAGGAACTATTCGAGGACCCAGATGTATTCAGAAACCACATGGACGCTGAACATGACTATTTTAGCATAAAAGTCGCCTTCCATCATCTACCGAAAAACGAATTCATTAAAGTCGATCTCACGAATTTGAGGTGCCGTATCTGCAAAAACAGCTTTCCAAATTTAGACGACATTATGGCTCACGTTGACACTGAGCACGGAAAGAAAGTAGACAAAGCAGGGAAGTTCGGGGTGATGCCCTATTTTCTCCAGAAAGACGTATACAACTGTGCGGTTTGCGACAAGAATTTTCCGTCACTTTTCCACCTTAACAGACACACGATCACCCATTTTTTGAGCTACGTTTGCCATGTTTGCGGAAGCAGTTACGTCGCTACCACAGGACTCTTAAGACATGTCCGATCCAAGCATCAGAATTACGAAGTGTCCTGCAAAAAGTGCAAAAAAGTCTTTCCCACAATGGAGGCGAAAGAAAAACATAGGAGGACGCAGAAATCATGCATGCCGTACTGTTGTTCTAAGTGCCAAGAGAGATTCTTAGACTACAAGACGAGGAAAAAGCATATGGAAGTTGCTCACGGACAATTGAAGCGTACTTACCGATGTGCGGATTGCAATATCGATTTTGTAACAGAAAATTCTTATTACGAACATTTTAAATTGCATCATTCTGAAGATTGCGCTGTTTGTAAACATTGTGGGATGAAGTTCCTCTCTCTGTATCGGCTTAAAAGGCACATATCCAAACATAACGTTTGAAGATGTACTGAAGCGATTTTATTGTCAGATTTTTTTATGAAGTGAAGTGCTAGCTAATGGGGAGTCCATTCAAAGAAGTCGCTTGATTAGAGGATTATTTTTCATTGTACTAACTTTTGGGGAAAAGTAGTCACCTATATCATTCCAGACTTGAAATATTGTATATATTATAACCGTGCCTAGTGTGCGTCGCGCATTTCGTACGTCAATTTCCGTATCAATAGAAGAAAGTGTCACGTGTTTGATGACAACCTTAATCAGGAAATCAAATGATTTCTTATAGACCATTTAAATTTATTAGTAAACTAGCTTTTGCCCGCGACTCAGTTCGCGTGGAATAGTGAATTCCTGCAGATTTTTGGTATAACACTATCCTATGCCCAGAAATCGGTTCAGTATTTTAGGCTTGAAGAAGACAGACAGAATTTCTTTCACTTTTATAATTCCTAACCAAACAAACCAAATGCTTATAAAGAGCATCACATTTTCCAAAATTTTCAAGCAAAGGTATAAGCCAAATGTTTAAGAAAACCAACAGTAATTTTCAGTGTATAAGTTTGGATTAGTTAGGATTTAACCAGGTCATCAAAAATATAATTTCATTATATGTACAATTTTCTTCATTACTACGAATTCGTTTGAAATATGGTATTAACAATAAATGAGCAAAAGCCAAGCATAAGATATCGAGTTTAGTCTCGCTCGAAACTTTTAAGTTACGTTTGGTATTCGTTTATTTTAACGATTCTTCATAAGATAGTATAAAACAAAGTCGTTTTCTCTGTCCCCACGTCCTTCTGTCTTTGCTGGTTTTTTTAATGGATGTAGAGATTGAGGAGTAACCTGGAGTATTTAGTATCAACATTGCCCCGTACGAAGCTGGGACGGGTCGCTAATCTATCATATAAGATAGATTAGATAAAAATGGATCGCAAAATGTGTTGGTAAGCGCATAACTCAACAACGCCTGGACCAATTTTGCAAATTCTTTTTTTGTTATGTTTGTTATTGTCAGGAGAAGGTTTTTATGAAAGAAAATTTAGAAAAGTAGAGGGGAATATTAGGAAAAAGTGACCCTTTGATAGCGAAATAGTTGGACCCGTGCGAAGCGGGGGCGGGCCGCTAGTATTGTATAAAAATGAATATCAAAATGTGTTGGTAAGCGCATAGCTCAACAACGCCTGCACCAATGTTAACAATTCCTTTTTAGTTGTATCTATTATTGTCAGGGGAAGCTTTGTTTATAAAAAAATAATTAAGAAAGTAGAGGGGAAAATTGGGAAAACCTGAACCTTTCGTAGTTAGCGAGATAGTTAGACCCGAGTGAATCGGAGTCGGGTCGCTAGTTTTTACTAAAATAACCAGCGGAAAATATGTATGGTCTTGGTCTATGTGTGGCGACAACTTTGAGCCTAGCTTGTCGAATAAGCGAACATTAAAGTCTGTTAATAAGAATCCGTGTATATAAATAAACACTTTAAATATAATAATTATGTTTATAATCTATAAATAATCAAAAATAATATTTTCGATAAATAGATGAACAATAATTCTGCAATATAATATATTATGTATGTGTCGTATTATTATTTTCAAAGAATAAATATAATTGGAAAGATTAAAACTGTATTTTACTACTTGTTTCTATAACGCGCTTGTACCTGCTCCGGCTCCTATTAGCCGTAGCGTGGTGTTTTGTAACCTATAGCCTTCCTTGATAAATGGACTATCCAATACCAAAATCATCTTTCTATTCGATTCAGTAGTACCGGAGTTATAGCTAGTTTTAATTAATGCGTGGTCACAAGTTGACTGATTTGCCAATAGCAAAATAGTAATATTGACCAATATGCCAAAAGTTGAGGGGAAGTCATTAAGTCACTTCTCCCGCCCTGGATAAGGCGAGAGGGGAGTTGAAGACTGTTTTTAAAAACTTATTCGGTCCCTCTCCTGTTCTGGGCCGGGCCGTTAATACGCATGCACCCGCAACCCCGGGCCTTAGGTTACCCTAGTGATTCTAATTTTGCGAAAACTTACCCTATTATGAGATCTGCACGGAGCAAAAAATATTAGTCTTAGAAATGACGATGTGAATGGTTTTTTTATTTTCTTTTTGCTAACATTTAATTTTTAAGGACATGATCTATTAACAAAACAATATAGGTACCTACTATTTGATTATATTGAAATTTAACTATTCAAACATTACTAACTGTCTTGATTTTGATCCCCGGCTTCTAAGATAGATGTTATTCATTTCTATTTCTGCTTATATCCATGGTTTACGTCATCTCCCGGTATCGATAAGTTAATTTTATTTCGACGAACAGATCCAAGCCTAACCATACAAATAACTATAAAATATTATAAGAAAGAATCACGAAACGTAACAAAAAGGGCCACAGAAGAACAGTTCAATGACTGGGCATTTCTTTTTTGTTCTAGAGAAACAAAATGACCCGAATTTCATCGCTAAACGGAACGCCGAGGTTATTGTGAAATATTCAACCGTATACCCGTTCAAGCTGCCCGAAGAGAACATGGTTTGTGTTTACTGTTGCGAAAGCTTCCCCCAACCGGCCGAATTTAGGGCCCACATGGACGAGGAACATGAGACATTTAACCCCAAAATGGCCTTCCTTCACTGCTCCGAAGGGTACATCAAAGTTGACTGCACAAACATTAACTGCAGGCTTTGTTTCAAAAACTTTCAAAATCTAGACGAAATTGCCGACCATCTGTACTCTGAACACAAGAAACCACTGGATTTGAGCGTCGCCTTAGGATTACAACCATTCCATTTGGAGAATAACAAACTTTTCTGCGCTATTTGTCGCGCTAAGGCCTTGTGTTTGCGGCAACTTTCTAGACACACACAGAGCCATTTTTGGAGGTATACCTGTGAGGCTTGTGGCAAATCTTACGCAACAAATACGGCTTTACGCAGTCACATAAGGTTCTCGCATATAGGGAACGAGAAAATTTGCCGTAAATGCAAAGGGACTTTCAGTTCTGTGGAAGAGAAAAGAAAGCATATGTTGGAGTCCCAAAGGTGTTGGTCTCATCTCTGCTGCGTTTGTGGTGAACGATTCATATCCTGGCATGCTAAACAGCTACATCTATCAGAATGCCACGGCGTCGAAAAGAAAGTGTACGTTTGTCCGGAATGTGGAGGCGTTTTTCACGAACGAAAGAAATACAGGACTCATTTCAGACTTTCACACACTGACGATAATTACGTCTGCTCCTGCTGTGGCATGAAATTTGTGACGAAAAAGACGTTAGAAGAACATAGAGTGTCCCATACAATGGAGAAACTCTTTCCCTGTACAGTTTGTTCCAAATCATTCCCTAGGAAAAAGAATTTAGTTCAACATATGTGGATTCATATGGAGAACAAACGGTTTGAATGTAAAATGTGCAATAAGAAATTCAATCAGAAAGTTAGCTGGAAAACTCATATGAAGTCCTATCATCCTGAATTAGTCGAGTTTGAAGGGAAAAATAATAATATAAAGCTCATGTTTTCCGTTTTGAACGAATAGTTTTTGATAGGTAAATGTATTAATCGTTAAACGAGTGTAGTTATATTTTTGTCTAGAGTCTAGAGGCTAGTCTTGAAATCTACGGCCAGTGTGTTATGATTTTTACTTCATGTTATAATACCTACATCACTGTATTTACTGATGGTTGGATACGTCTTCCAACATTAAGAAAATAATCTAGAATTCATGTTATGAAATTATTAGTATGTTACTCGTCACATTGTTTAATCCATTATTCGTTTAAGAGTACCGTATAATCTGATCAAATGGGTGTTCTTCTAGGATGTATTTTAGGACCAACGCAATAACTTTCTTAAGTATATTCTTTATTTAATCTATTAAAATCACTTCGTATTTTTCTAATAATCCGCATCACCGCTATGGACATATCACAAGTACAGAATAAGTGATCGGACGTTTCTTTTTGTTCTAGAACTAAATCCGATGTTCGTCGCGCGACAGAACGCCAAAATGATGATAGAATATACAACAGCTTACCCCTTCAAGCTGCCAGAATCGTCAATGGTGTGCGTATATTGCTGCGATAGTTTCCAAGACCCGGCAAAGTTTAGGGATCACATGACAATAGAACATCAGGATTTCAATGTACGAATGGCGTTCGCACACATCGCTGAAGGATCCGTTAAAGTCGACTGCACAGATTTAAAATGTAGGATATGCTTAGAAACTTTGGCTAACTTAGAACTGGCAGCTGATCACTTGTTGAATGTTCATAATAAGAATGTTAATCCCAAACACGATTTGGGGTTACATCCCTTTAATATATACTACGGGAAATACGCGTGCGCGATTTGCTCGGAGAAATTTTCCACTTTGGCTCTACTCAGTAAACATACGCACTCACATTTTGTCCAGTATACCTGCGATGCTTGCGGTAAATCTTACGCGTCACTAACATCGTTACAATGCCATTTGAGATACAACTGTGGTAGTGGAGCCAGCAAGAACAGATGTAGAAAATGCAGAAAAATGTTCACTTCAGTCTCGGAAAGGACGAAACATCTAGAGAAATCTGTCAGATGTCGACAACATGTTTGCAATGTTTGTGGAGACAGATTTCTTACGTGGAACATGAAGCAGACCCATTTAAAAGAGTCCCATAATGTCCCAGAGAAGTCCTACAACTGTCCCGAATGCCATATAGTCTTTACGAAACGTGATAAACTACGCATGCATTTTAAAACTACGCACACAAATGACTACGTAGAATGTTCGTACTGCGAAAAGAAATTCGACAATGATAGGAATTTGAAAAAGCATATCGTTGTGCACACAGGGGAAAGGAACTTCATCTGTCCTGTCTGTTCTAAGGCTTTCCCGAGGAAGTCTACGTTAGGACAGCATATGTGGATACATAGTGCGGTTAAAAAACACGAGTGTAAAATGTGTGATAAGACTTTTAATCAAAGAGTGAGCTGGAGGACTCATATGAAGTCGAGACATCCCGAACTTTGCGTGTTTTAGGCGATAGACGGCAAATATCTTAAAGTACTACTAACATAGATGTGATTTTTCTACGATTTCATTTTTTTGCACTAGTTTTTAATAAATAAATAGCCAAATAGAATACAGTAAATGGGATTACGTAATAGTCAAGTTGATTAGTAATTAAAACAGAAAAGTGACCAAAATGTCTTTTTTGTTCTAGAACAAAATCCGCTGCACATTGCAAAAAGGAACGCCCAGATCTTAATACAATATACCACAGCGTATCCGTTTAGACTACCGGAAAGTTCCATCGTTTGCGTTTACTGCTGTGAAAGTTTTGACGACGCTCCTCGATTCAGGAAACATATGGATGATGAACATGAGGTCAACGTAAAAATAGCGTTCTCACATCTCCACGAAGGCTATATCAAAGTCGATTGCACAAATCTTCGCTGCAGAATTTGTCTACAAACCTTTGACAAAATCGGAGAAGCAGCTATTCATTTAAACGTTGCTCATAATGAGAATATTGATCTTAACCAAGATGTTGGCGTCCAACCTTTTGATCTACAAAACGATAAATTATCTTGCGCCGTCTGTAACGCCAAAGCTTCGAACATACGTAGCTTGAGTCGTCATATCCAAAAACATTTCTTTCAATGCACATGCGAACTTTGTGGCAAATCTTTCGCGACCTCGACATCTTTGCAGAAACATCTAGAATTTTCTTGTCCTCACGTAGCGAAGCAGCGTAAATGTAGGAAGTGTAAGGTAGTCCTGTATTCGACGGAGGATCAAAAGAGACATTACGAAAATTCGAGACAGTGTAGGCAGCATCTGTGTTCGGTCTGCGGTGATAGGTTTAGCACGTGGAAAATAAAGCAGAACCACATGGAACAGGCTCACGGTATACCGAAGAAAGTCTATCATTGTCCAGAATGCGGGGTTGTGTTCAAAAAGCCCAATGTTTTTAGAGCTCATTTTAAAATTGCTCATACAGATGAACATTTTGAGTGTCCCAGCTGTGATAGAAAGTTTGACACTAAATATGTTCTAGACAGACATATGGTAGTTCATTCTAATGAGAGATTATTTTCTTGTGATATCTGCTCGAAAACGTTTCCGAGGAAGTCGACGCTTCGACAGCATATGTGGATTCATAGCGCCGTGAAAAGGTTCGAATGTAAGATGTGTGATAAGCAGTTTAATCAAAAAGTTAGTTGGAAGACTCATATGAAGTCTTATCATCCGGATTTGGGAGGTTACAGTTAGTTCTAGAATGTTCCACGATACCAAAAGTCGCCATTTGATCATTATCATATCTCGCTTGGGGGTTTGCGATGATGCGATCTTTAATCGAATACCTAATGGTAACCTGATGATTTCAAAGATCAAGGTGTCACTTTGCAGACTATATTATATCAATCAGTAGAGTTCAAAAAATTTCAAATCACAAGCCAATTTTGAGTATAGAGAAACGTCCAATTCTGGGTTCTAGGTCCGTAGAATTATATTCATTCACAAGTCTTAGCTTTTTCCTATTTTCTTCTTCCTTTTTACCAAGATAGTCGTTATCGATAGCTTATTTAGGATCTATATTTAAAACTGTGTTCAGTTTATCATTGATTTTATTGTGAAGATATTGTTAGCTCTAAGCAGTTACTGTTACTGAAGTAGATAAATGGATTATTATTCATTAAGGTGCCTAGTTTTTTTCTATATTTTTAATTTGTTGATATTGACGTACGGTAGAATACTTTTATGCTTAGTCTCCCTATCCTATCTATATGTATTTCCCATGGTCATGCAATCACGCGTAAACTTATAGATCGATTCCAATTTTTTTAACGTGTTTGGAAACTAGGAAATATTTCTTATGAAAGAAAATTTTATAAAAGTGAAGAATTAATTGACAAATAGCAAAATTTTCGATGCCGCGGTCCGCTTACAAAATAAATGGTTGGCACGGAGGTAGTCAGACACCCGTGCGACAAAGGGGCGTGCGGCCAATATATACATACATTTGGCGACTTATTAAAATATTCATGTAAGTTTGAAACAAAAGGGATACATTGCTGTTTAAAAGAAATCTTGTGTTTTTATTTGTAAAAACTATTTACATTTAAAAGTTTCTATGAATTTATTAGAATTATAAAGTTGTTTTATCGCGTGTAACTTGAAAACGGCTGGACAAATAGTTTGACTAACAAAGCAATATTAAATCGTGGTTTTTCTTTTGTATAACGGCTGGAAGGTTTATATAATGTATATTATGTACTGTGTTTATTTTGGTGAATTAAAATGTAGATATTGTATAGAAAGAATGTTATTTTTATTACTGAATAAGAAAGTTTTGTCTTTCTTTCGCGTTTGGAGCTGAGTAGTGTCGCGTCTCGTCGCGTAGGTTCAAATCCAAAATCATGAACTAGTGAACCGATTTATCAAACGCTTCGCTTGGGGTTTAATGAATAAGTGAAACTTGGTCATGCAGTTATTTATATACTTACGGTATTTTAAGTTTATATGGAAACTTAAAATTGCTTTTCTTCTTTTGCGAAAGGGTGTAATTTACTTTTAAGACCTGGATGTATTGCGTAGGAATACCAAGTATCGTAATCGGTTGAGTAGTTCCATGATTTGATAATTTGTATATATAAAAATCTGTGCCACATTACACGCTCTTAAGTTTCTTTTTTCAATCAAGTCACTCTACATACGCTATTTTTAGCACTCTTCTTTTATACTTTCTTCTACTTTAACTAGGGCTAAAATTTGTTTTATATTATTCGTTTCCAAATGCGTTCTGAACGCGTTAATATGAAAATATCTGTTATACATTTGTCATAGTTTATTTATAAGTTTATATAATATACTTACGTTGATATTTCGTTAATTGTTTTGTATAGAGAATATTTTATAGTTAGCCTTATAGTATTTAATAAATTGATTACGATTTCACTATATTTTTTATTTAAGACCCGAGAAGTTTAGAAGATTTGATTATTTTCCCTTAAGAGCTCTCAGAATTAAATTCTAATAAAGTCCAATGCGAAATGTCTTTTTGCATCTGGTAGTCCTCTTGAAGCTACAACATACTTAAGAAATATTTGGAAACATACCCATTGTTGAGAAATCTAACAATATTCACAAGAAGTAGGTCTGATAATAATTAAACAGAACCCTAGATAATGTCTACAAATTTTGGTAGAATGACAATACCATTACACTAATAAGTAATGGAAAAGGATATTATTATATTAATATTTAGGACTTGCAATTGATATAAGATTTTTAAAAGTGAAACAAAATATCTGACAGTCAAACCAGAACCTATAAATGTGCTGTTTGTCACTTTAATATTAGTCACCATTTTATTTTCGAGCGCTCATAAATATCAACAAGGGCGTTTTGTCTGTTCTAGACGAGACGAGTGTGATGTCCACTGCGCGCCGGAATGCGGAGACTATACTCTCGAACGCCACAGTTTACCCCTTCCGGCTGCCAGAAACATCGCTCGTGTGCGTATACTGCTATAAGACTTACGAAGACGCTTCCCTCTTCAGACAGCACATGAAAGATGAACACCAACCATTCAACGTACAAAATGCCTTCGCCCACTGCGCTACCTACGAAACCTACCTAAAAATAGACACTACAGAACTCTCCTGCAGAAATTGTTCGGAAAAGTTCGACAGAATCGATGTTATAGCTCATCATTTCAACGATAAACATGATGCCAAAATCAATTTCGACTTCCAACTTGGCGTTCATCCTTTCAAGTTTATGCAGGATAAGCTTATGTGTGGAAACTGTGATCTCAATTTTCCCTGCATGAGGCAGTTAAGTCGTCACATATCTTCCCACTACCAAAACTATAATTGTGACAGTTGTGGAAAGTCATATACCACAAGCAATTCTCTAAAACAACATCAGCGGTTCTCCCATATTCCTGATGAAAGGATTTGCAGGAAATGTAAGAAAACCTTTAGCACTCTACAAGAGAAAAAGTATCACACTGTCAACTCGCCAAAATGTTGGATATACCAATGTCGTAATTGCGGCGAAAGATTCTTGACTTGGAAAAATAAGGAAGAACATTTAGTAGAAGCCCACGGGGAGTCCAAAAAGTCCTACTCATGTCCTGAATGCAGTATGAGCTTCCCAACGAGAAGTATCTACAGAACTCACTTTAATACGACCCACGCAGAGGTCAAATTCCCTTGCACATACTGCGGGCGAAAATTCTCAGCGAAAAGATACTTGGATCAGCACATTCTCGTTCACACTGGAGACAAGGCCTTTCAATGTAATGTATGCTCTAAATCGTTTCCGAGAAAGAAGAATCTTTCACAGCACATGTGGATTCATAATGAGAGTAAACGGTTTGAATGTAAACCATGCCAAAGACAGTTTAACCAAAGATTTAGTTATAAATCGCACATGAAAGCACATCATCCAGATATCCCTGAAGATGATTGGTATAAGTAAAACCGTACTGATTGTAGGTTTGGAGTGTTTGCCATGTATTTTGTCTATACCATTTTATGCGGCTTTTGATAGGTTATATGAAATAAAGTAATCGATGATACACATGCTACCGTATTCCGATGCCTTTAATTATTACTAAAACTGACGGAAATAATTGCTAAGCGCTGGGGATGCCACTGGGATCATATGTGGCCCAACTTTGTGGCGGATTTACCCTCAACTGTTTGTTAATTCTCGGGCAATGACTAAAGCAAACAAGGGATAAGTAAGCCTCATATCAAGGTCATAAATATTGTAATCCTCACCAAAAAAATCATGCCACTTTGTTGTAAATATCTGACGAATAGTTGCTCATTTAGCTTTCAGATATTCCGAGAATTTTCTAATGTGAATGAATGAAAGAAAAATAATATTATGTCTAGTCTCTATCTATATCTAGTCTTTTTCGATAGAAAATGTAAAATGCCACAGTAGCTTTAAATTTTTGCGTTGCGTTTCTTAGTGTTACATATCGATGTCTTTTAGTATCAGTCTTGTATTGAAATCGCCTGTAGTTTATATTTAAATTTCAGTCTTTTGGCCCTTTATCAGTAAGTAGGGGTCGGTACTGATTACACTCAGAGATTTAATTTGACATGTATGCGTCCAGTTTTCTGTTTTGTAGAATAACGTCATGTAATTGTTAGGTAAATTAAAAATATGCGTGTTTTTCCGATTCCATGTGAAGTAAATCTAGTCATGATTAAAATTGTAAGTAGGCATATAGTATACTAAAGAATCTTCGTTTCATAAAATGAAATAAAATTATTGATTCTTAAACATTTAAACAGATATTTTTGTCAAATTCGTTTGTGTTCAAATTTTATTTTAGTTGATTTTTAAGGTTATGTATTAAGATGATCCCAAAGATTTATTCTAAGGTATATTTATAAAATGAAAGTGTCATAATATATCATAAAGTGTCATTAAACTATATCTCGTTGTTATTTAATGCCTCTCCGCTACTCAGATGCAAAAGCAATTTACAAAAATTTAAGAAGAATGACCTTCCAAAGACTAACTTGATGATACACCCGAATTCCCACTTAACACAAAAACACTGTGACAAAAGGAAGTGATCCGATCAATCACTCCGATATTTTCTTTTTGTTTCTAGAACCACATTTAATGGCGAAAGAAAACGCGGAGGTATTGTTGAGATGTTCCACCATGTATCCGTTCAGATTGCGAGGAAAATCAATCACTTGCGTCTATTGCTGTGAAGGATACGAAGACCCCACGCACTTTAGACGACACGTTGACGTCCACCACCAGCACTTCAACATTACTACAGCATTCTACCACTTGAGCAGTGCTAAAGAATATATAAAAGTGGACATATTTAATATGAAGTGCAGACTATGCTTGCAACCCTTTGAAAAGGTTGATGAAATGGCAGAACATATAAAAGAAGTCCATGAGGAGTCTGCTAAAAGATTAAACCTCGACTACGATATCGGAGTGCAACCGTACAGGCTAGAGAGCAACAACTACTGTTGTTACCATTGCGACAAGAAAATGCCCTCACTCACCACTCTATCGCGACACACCATCCTACATTACAAGCGGTTCACCTGTGATACTTGTGGCAGAAACTATTTGTCTCACGAAGCCCTTAAATATCATATCAAGGTCAACCATTCAGGGAACCACATTTGTCGCAAGTGCTGGATGGAGTTTCCAACGATGGAAGAAAAGAGGGAACATATAAAAAGCAATAAGAAATGCTGGACTTTCTGTTGCATAGTCTGCGGAGAGAGGTTCCAGTCATGGGAACAGAAGCAGAAACATTTGGAGTTAGAACATGGTCAGGA